ACGCAAATTTCGACGTTTCAAGAACTGCAGTTTCTTCGAAAAGGAAACGCAAAGGCAAATGGTCTAATCAGTGTTATTTGTGCAACCGCCCGGGTCATTTTGCCAAAAATTGTCCAAACAACCCCAGCAGTCAGTCAAAATGATGCAAAAACTTTCTCAGCTCACCGATATAGATTTTTCTGATGATGATGTTGAAATTTGGTTTTCCATGGATCAAGAACCCACTTAGACACTATTTTCCAGTTTGCGCCACTGATAATAAGTCCTCTGATTCAGATGATTGCCACTATTTCTACCATATCAACAAGCAGCCTTCCATCATTAGCCTTCCATGTCACATACCTACAGCAAAAGTTCAGATCTTCCCCACCAAATACTCCAAGCCCATTTCAGTCATAGCTTTTTTGATACAGGTGCTACTCGTACCATTATCAACCCTAAGATCCCCCAGCCTCTCAGTGGAAACCTGTTCAGGGTCTTCTACACGGCTAATAGTGAGACTTTCACTACTCATCTGATTAGCAAACCCATTAAAATCCAAATTTTCCAAGCTGTTTCACTTTTCATAAAGTTCTTGGTTCCGATCTACCTGGCAAAGATATGGTTCTATTGATGTTTACTCTAAACTCAGTAAACTGAATCCTCCCTGATGGTGTTCGGTACAAGATGTTTTTTCAATCCTGGACCACTCAGCCTAATTTATTCCAGATTGAGGCAATCCTATTGAGCAGATTAAGACCCAGCTTATTTCCCGCTCTTGCGCAGATTCTCATGCTGATTTTCTCACTAAATGTGCTCATCCATTATGGAAGAATTGGAATTCTTTATCCGTCTTCCATTCATCAAGAGTGAAGATATCAATCCCACTAAAGCTAGTCTTCCGGCATGTCACCAGAACATCTCAGTCCGCCCAACAAGAATGTACTTATCTTTTATCTCAGATTGATTGAACCCACAGACTCTCAATGGGCATGTGAAGCTTTTTATGTAAATAAACGGGCAGAACAAGCCAGAGGAAACTCAGACTTGTTATCATTATCACCATTGAATTTCTTTCTCCGTGATGATAAATTTCCTCTGCCTTCCAGACAAGTTCTTTTGCAAATCTCCATAATGCAAAGATGTTTTCCAAATTTGATCTCAAAGCTGGATTTTGGCAACTTAATTTATCCGGATGATCGTCATAAGACTCTTTCTACCATTCCCAATCAATACTACCAGTGGACAGTCATGCCTTTTGGACTTAAAATCGCTCCTTTCCTGTTTCAGAAGCCATGACAAGATTTTTCTCCCCTTCTGCATACATATCTCATTTATATCGTGATATCCTTCTCTTTTAAAAAGATGAGGAATCTCATATCGTCTTCTTCGTGACTTTGCTGATATCATCCACACTTATGGTATCATGCTCTATGAAGAAAAATGCAGTTAGGAACAAAGATGATTTTCTTAGTATGGTGATTGCTGATGGCAAGATGATCTTCAGCCTCATATTGCTAATGAATTGCAAAAATTCCCAGATGTCCTCACAACCAGAAAGAAATACAACAATTCTTGGGAATTGCCAATTACATGCGTTGTTTCATTCCCAACATTTCTCGTTTCACTACTCCACTTTCCCATATGCTTAGAAGAATCCTCCAGATGGTCTGAAAAGCAGACAAATGCAGTAAAGTGAAGGTTCCATACATAGCCATTAAAGATTCCTTCTTCGGGGAAACGCTTCTTCAGACGGATGCTAGTGACACTCATTGGGGTGCAGTATTTTTTGAACAAGATGAGGACAAGGTACGACTTTGTGCATACCAGAGTGGACAATTCAAACCATACCAGCACATTATCATTCTACTTTCAAGGAATGATTAGCAGTAAAAATGCCATTGAAAGGTTTGAATTCCCCTTGTTGGACATCATTTCTTTGTTGAAACTGATATAAGTCTTTTGATCAAATGCTCGTTTCCATAAGAATAAGGTTCCCATCAGTAGTTCTTCGCTGGGCAGAATGGTTCATAAATATTCTTTCACCGTCTAGCATATCAAAGGTCACACTACACCATTGCAGATTATTTATCCACCTAAAACAAACAAGTTGGTTTCATGAACCCTAGATCCAACCTCTTCCATGTTTCATGTTCCAACCATTACCCAGTCCAGTTCCTGTTCATCATCCTCTTCACCAAACCATACTCCAGACATACCTCCTGAATTCATGACCTTATTCAAACACTACCATTGATGAAAATGCTACCACCCTCATGTTTTCTTACCAACTTCAATGCATTGAAAAATGTGGTCATCCATGTGATATTTAGGGGTCATCTAGATTACCCCTTTTCAAAAATCTTTTGTTTACCCCAGGACTTGATATCATATTTCCAGAAGAATATTATGGTTCTTTTGGTATATGTTACATCAATACCACATTGCTATTTAATTCCCGATCCATCTATGTTGAAAAAATTTTCCAATACCATCAACTCAACCCCTGAACTACGCTCTTTGATGACTTTTCTCCGATGGTTCAAAACCCTCGACAATGGAAATCTGTGTTTGCTCACCAACTTGCCCGATACAAAGGTCCTATGTCTACCAAAATGGCATGGTCTATAATGTTTTTTCACAGACATCACTCTATCAGATCTGATGGCCTATATTTTTCTCAGCATCAAGTCACATTTCATCGGTCTTATCCATATGACTCGTCCATAATATGTTTGATCATCCTGTTAGACTAGATCAATTCAAAAAATCCTTTTTGAAAAAAATTAGATCATTCCAGATGCACTATGGCCATCCTTTCATGATGATGCTCCGTGGGACACTCTTCCTCAGACTACACTGAGAAATTACTCCAAGCCAACACATGCATACGTTCCATCAATGCTCAATTCGATGCTGATTCAGCCTATCCAGAATGGTGGTACCCGGACTCCGCCAGATACTGTGCGGAGAAGAGCTTTAGCAGTCTCGTAATTACTATCTCCATAATCCAGGCGACAACAATACATGCATGCACCTAGTACATCTGCACACACATCTCAGATTCCAGACATTTCTTCGGATACTTATCCAGATACATCTCCCCGACAAATCCCTGCTGACTGGATTCAATCAATGGGTTGTCTCGACTTCCAGGATGAAGACTCGTGGCACGTTACCAACTTGTCAGACGATTAACTCTCGTGTCCTAAATATATATGGTGTCTTTTATGTAAATAGGAGTGGACTAAATGGCAATTTGCCTTTTCAATGTAATATCTCCTGATCCTTTGTAAAAAGTCAAGTGTTGTAAGATTATGTTTTGTCAAGAATTGTAGGCTACTTAATTAAAAAAAACCCAAAAGTCAAAAAGTTGGTTCTTGTATTTAATATCTCCTTTATGAGTGGTTGTATCCCTTTTATCTATAATAAAGATTTTTACCTTCGCGGAGGAGGAGGAACTTTGTAAAACTTAAACTTTTGTTTCTCACTTTCCTTCCATACTTTCTCTACGTATCTTTACTATAATTCTTCAATGTTTCTTTCATATGCTACTTTCCCTCAACCTCAAGGTGTTGTAATACTCTGAAAATGTTATAGATAGCAAAAGTCCCATATATCTTTTATTTATGTTCTTTAATATGTTATATTTATGTTTTCATTTATGTTCTTTCTTCAGTTCTGTACTGTCTTCATTTATATCATGTTCTCCATTTATGTTGTTGTTTAATATTCACTAGCCCTTTTAGATGCTGTTAGAAGCTTGTGTCGTGTGCGTGGTGTGTGGATAAAGGAGGGTCTTGACCATCTTTTCAACCGATCGTTGTGTTGATTGGTTCCGCTTAGGTCGGCTATCATAGTTTCCCACAGCATAAACTCCATGATTTTCTGACAGAATCTCTAAGGTCTAGTAACCCGTATGAGCATCTCTAAGGTCTAGTAACCTGTATGGTTACTTAGACCTTAGAGATGCTGTCAGAAAATCATGGAGTTTATGCATGTGGGAAACTATGATAGCCGACCTAAGCGGAACCAATCAACACAACGATCGGTCGAAAAGATGGTCAAGGCCCTCCTTTTATCCCACAGACACGCACATCCACACAACTTCTAACATCATCTAAAAGGGCTAGTGAATATTAAACAACAACATAAATGGAGAACAAGAATATAAATAAAGAACATGTACAGAACTGAAGAACAAGAACATAAATGAAAACATAAATATTAAACATATTAAAGAACATAAATTAAAAGCATATTGGGATCTTTTGCTATCTATAACATTTTCAGAGTATTACAACACCCTTGAGGTTGAGGAAAAGTTAGCAATATGAAAGAAACATGGAAGAATTATAGTAAAGATACGTAAAGAAAGTATAGAAGTGTAGAGAAAATATGGAAGAGAAAGTGAGAAACAAAAGTTTAAGTTTTACAGAGTTCCTCCTCCTCCCGAGAAGGTAAAAGCCTTTATTTATAGATAAAAGGGATACAACCACTCATAAAGGATATATTAAATACAAGACCAACCTTTTTTACTTTTGGGTTTTTTTTTTTTTTTTAATTAAGTATCCTACAATTCTTGACAAAACATAATCTTACAACACTTGACTTTTTACAAAGATACGGGAGATATTACATTGAAAAGGCAAATTGTCATTTAGTCCACTCCTATTTTACATAAAAGACACAACTATATATTTTAGGACACGCAAATCTTTAATCGTCTGACAAGTTGGTAACGTGCCACGAGTCTTCATCCTAGAAGTCGAGACAACCCATTGATTGAATCCAGCCAGCAGGGATTTGTCGGGGAGATGTATGTGGATAAGTATCCAAAGAAATATCTAGAATCTGAGATGTGTGCTTTGTAGATGTACTGGATACATGCATGTATTGTTATCGTCTGGATTTATGGAGATAGTAATTACGATACCGTATTCAATCTGAGTAGATTCCAATCCCAAATTTCATAGACTATGATTAAAATATTTTACGTGGGACTGATTAGACTCCCCAATTATGTGATCCACGCGCCACCAAGGAGCGTAGGCAATATAGTTTATGAATCTCCGGCGGCAGAAAATTTTATTGGAAACCTTACACTCACTCGGCTCACTTTGGTTTTTGTTTTGGAATCTTTCGTTCAGAGTTGCGTAGAAAGCAATATGGCCACTGCTTGATCTCAAGTCAACTCACCTCTGAGTTTCTGAAACTCTTGTTCTCTCCCATGGCTTTTCTCCAAACACCCCTCTCTCAAAACCAACGTTTTCCCACAAAACTCCCTCATCATGCCAATAACTCGGGGGTAATTTCGCGGAATATTTCTTTTACCAGACCTCTGTCGATAAGAGAATTGAGAATCGTTAGAAGTTCTGGTCAAAACGAGGCCTTGGTTGGTAAGTCTTTTACTCTGTTGATCACTGTAATCTCTGTGATATTGGCTTGTTAGATTATGAATTAAATACAATTCCGAATTAAATGCGTGTGTTTTCATGTTTCTTTTGGCGGTAACCTCTTATAATGCCGTACTTTATACTGGCAGATTCCAGTCCTCAAATATTTGATGTTCCACTACTGTCTTGCTCAGAGGTTTGTTTTCTTTGTCATTTTAGAGCTGAATTCTTCATTAGCTTATTGACCAAATTAAAGATGCAATCCCTGTAATGAGTTTTTTGTGTGTGTTTCTATTTTTTAAGGCTATTGAAATGCTAAAAGTAAATCGAGCAAAACAGAAAAGCAAGCAGCAGTATCTGGCCATGTACTCTAGCGTTTTTGGTGGAATAACAACAGATCCAGCTGCAATGGTGATCCCTATGGATGATCACATGGTCCACCGGGGACACGGTGTCTTTGATACTGCTGCAATAGTGGACGGGTTAGTAAATTTCACCTCTAAACAATGTATCTTTCTTCCTTTTTTTTTTCCATTTTTAACTGTTTGTTAATTTTTTGCTTCTATCCAACTTTGTCAGAATCAATTGATGAACTTTCTTCTATCATATTGGAGGTAGTATCAAGTTCTTTCATGTGTAACTTTTGAGTGGCTATGTATATGATGAACTTCTTCTGTTCATTGCTGCTGAAAGTAGTTCATTGATGTTCTCTAATCATTCTTCTAAGGTTTCCATATTCACAATGTGTTATACACAATTTAGTCAACACTCTAGCAATGTAACAAGCGCATTTAAATCTTATCCTAGAAAACTTATTTTTTGCTGACTAGATTTAGAAACTTGAAATGGATAAATATACAGTATATTTAACTTTCCTTCGAAGTTGAGCTCTGTTCTTCCCTTCTTATCTTTTTCTCCCTAAAATGTATAATATACTACTTGTTAACATTCTTTTATTTAATGCCTATTGAACTAGTAACTTATCTTTGATTCCAAGATAAGAAAACCGTGTTTTGTGACTGTTATACAAACATGTGTTAGTTTATATTTTTCACAATATTAAAATGATGAACTATAGTCACTCCAATTTAAGGTCAATATGATTACTCTGTTCTCTTCTTAGGCTACCTATTATCATCTATCTCTTATCTCGTTATTGATTTTCCACGTTTCAGATACCTGTATGAATTAGACCAACATCTTGACCGTATAATAAGGTCAGCCTCCATGGCCAAAATTAAACTTCCTTATGGTCGGGAAAGTCTGAGAAAAATACTCATACAAACTGTGAGTGCTTCCAAGTGTAAGAAAGGATCATTGAGATACTGGCTTTCAGCTGGAGGGGGGGATTTCCAATTATCTCCAAGTGGGTGCCATGAACCTGCATTTTATGCCATTGTAATACAGGATGAATCACCATTTGTTTCAAAAGGCATTAAAGTAGTAACTTCATCTATCCCAATAAAACCTCCACAATTTGCCACCATGAAGAGTGTGAATTATCTACCAAATGTGCTTTCAAAAATGGAAGCTGAAGAAAATGGTGCATATGCTGCCATTTGGCTCGATGCTGATGGGTTCATTGCTGAAGGGCCTAACATGAATGTTGCATTTGTTACAAAAACGAAGGAGCTTCTGATGCCTCTCTTTGATAAAATCCTGAGCGGGTGCACAGCCAAGAGAGTTTTAAGTCTTGCAGAGGCGCTAGTGAGGGAAGGTAAGCTCCATGGAATTAGAGTAGGTAATGTCACAGTGGAAGAAGGTAAGAGAGCTGAGGAGATGATGCTTATTGGTAGTGGAGTTCTTGTTAAGCCAGTACTGCAATGGGATGACCAGGTCATTGGCAATGGTAAGAACTTTTCCATCTTAATCTATGCCCTTAAAAGCAATACCTTTTTTCAACAAAAGTTACATGAAAGTTCTCCAATGGTTTGGTTTCAAACCAATGTAGAACTTGCTTGCAGCTGAACAAACATGATTTTCACATATTACCTAAGAAAATTCTAGTTAGTGTTATGTTTGCCTAATAGATCAAGTTATTGTTAAAAATATTGATGTTGATTTGAGGATGCATAAATTTTCTTTTTTTGCTGCCTTCTTTTTGCATGACTATAGTGTGTATTGTTTCATTTTATTTCACTTATAAAATTTCCAGTCGCACTTGGAACCGTGATGACTCTTTTCCTTCTCATGATGTGTAACCATGAGTCCTTATCGACAATGCATTTGGCTTTAAAAGCTCTTTAGCTAAGGGGTCCACGTTGGAGGAGTGGGGGAAAAACCGAAAAAGGCAATTGTCTTTTTGCAGTTTCCTCAACAAACACTATATTGTTAATTGTTCCTTTACTCTCCTCCAAGGTAGAGATGTAAAATAGTTTATTTGATATCACTGGATAGCCATGGAAACCTTTTTCCCGTATAAATTTCCTGCAAGCATCACCTAATTTCATTTTGTGGTTTAAACCTGTAATCCACCAAGCTACCTGCATTGCTTTTTTATTTTTATTTTTTATGGTGGAAGTCAAATGTTGTTGATTTTCTTAGTTTTGGGTGCTGACTATGTCCCAATTATATGTTTTCCTGTAGGCAAAGAAGGTCCCATATCTGAAGCTCTATTGGATCTTCTACTGAAGGACATGAAATCTGGCCCCTCTACTGTCCGAGTTCCTGTTCCTTACTGAGAAATTTCATCTCCTTTCTTGATTTGTATCGAAAGTGCTTCACATGTGTTGGTTATGGAGATTGACATGGAACTGTTTGTAATTCAAAAGATTTATTAATGCAAGTTGCTCTGAATTTTGTACATAACAAAATACAGAATTCTGACCTTGTGTGTCATTTTGAGCCCTTTTTTTGGTTCCTCTTCTGTGGTTCTTCCAAAGAGCATCACTGTACTATATACTTCAACATCACATGATGGGGGAGCCCATTCATAATGTTATCTACATTTTTTCTTCTCTACTAAACAAGTTCAGCTCACAATTTGACGCATAAAATAATGACAGTTGTATTGGAAACCACATTGGCCAGACAATTTTGCAATAAACATGAGTAGGTTATGCACTAATCCCACCTGCATTTGCCGAATGAAGATGCCCGACCAATCAGCTAAATTTTTGGAACTCATTTGTAGTCATCTTCGTACATTTTATTATATGGAAAATGTGATATAATATGATTATATATAGAACCTCAATGTACTAATGAATCATTGAAAAAGGACAAATTAATTTATATTGTTTTCATATAAATAATTAGTAAAAGCCAGTGGGTGAAGCATCCAACTTGGGCTAAAATATGTTATAGTAAATGGTTGTCACCTAAGCCACTTTGCCTTGTAAAAGGTGATGCCCTATTTGTTTTCTTCTCACCCTTACCAATATCAATGTCAAAAAGATAGATATTATGGGCCCATTTTTAAAAATAAAGCCATTGTTGAGTACATGATTTAGTGGTTAGATTACATGAAACTTCCTTTGTACATTGAATAAAGAGGCTTTTGCTCTTGAATTTAGTTACTTCTTGTCAGTTTGTGGTTTGATTCTCTAATTACATTTATCTTTTGCTTCTTGCATTTATTGTATTAGTTTTAATTGTAATATGACAATTCATGCAACCAGCCATTATTAGTTTATAGTCTCGAGGAAACGGGTTCCTACTTTATTGGTGGGTGAGGTATGGTGTATGGATGCGCTAGGTCGGTGAGCAAAATTGCTTTTCTCTTCAAATTTGTAAATACGACACCGTTCTTTTGTACTTATATTGTTTTATTGCCTCAAAATCGAACCACACAGAACACCGAGCTTAAATTAACGATAAAATGGTAAATACCGTCTGATGGAGAAGGTAGGCCAAATCAACGGTTTCGATAGAAGTATACCCCAGTACGGCATCATTGTTTTACACGTGGCACGTTCTCGTTGGTCTTCTTTTTTAAATCCCACCTCCCGAATTATTTAACCCTAAAAAAAGAAGAAAAATAATCAAAATCATTTATCAACGGAAAAAATTAATAAATTAAAGAGAGAAAAGAAACAGAGTGTGGGATATAGAGAGAAAGTTAAGAGGAAAAGAGAGCGATACCTGTCGATCAAGGACTGTTTGATTTGTTTGATCGGAGAATAGAGAGTTAGTGGCCGGAATATTCGGCGGCGTAATTGTAATTTCCTGCGATCTCGGTGCCGGAATCGGTCTGATCTCTAAGAGGCTGACTCATTCGTTTTTTTGTTTGGGAGAGCAGAGAAGATGGTGAATTCTATGGTGGAGAGAGCCACGAGCGACATGTTGATCGGGCCTGATTGGGCCATGAACATCGAGATCTGTGACATGCTTAATCACGACCCCGGGTACGCACTCGTCGCACTGGATTCTAATCTGCCCTCTCGTTTTTTTTTTTTTCTTCCTTATAGTTATATGTTCTTTTTTATGGATTTGGTAAATTGGAGTGAACAACTTTTATCTTCTTGAGCCAACGAATTGGAATTATAGCTCTTGTTATTCTCGGACCATTAATCGTTTGTACCGTCTTGCTCTGGTTTTTGATAAATGGAAAGCCTGCCTTGATATTATTGCTTAAAATTCAAATATATTCTGAGTTGGTGTTGGTCATTTTGATTGATAAACCACCCAGCTGCATATAATGAAGTTGAAATATTGCTATGAGATTGGAAACTTTGATGATTGTAAATAGCTTATGTTTAGTCATACTCTTTAAAATTCTCGTATTTGTGCTTGGATTATTGGTGTTTTTTATTTGACTGACTGTGCTCATAAGGTCATAATTTTTATATTATCCTTATTATTGGCAATATAGTATGGTTACTTAATTTTGGTCGATAAGCGGTTGTTCGTTCTTCACTGCGAATCCTTGCGCTAACAGTAATTTGTAAACAAAGTTGCTGATAGAACACTTTGTAGTTGAAACAACATAATTTTTTCTCTTTTCCTTTAGTCTCTTAAAATTTGGTGTTTGACAATGTTTTATCAGGCAAGCAAGGGATATTGTTAAAGGCATAAAGAAACGCATTGGAAGTAAGAATTCAAAAGTTCAACTTCTTGCCCTAACTGTAAGCTCTCTGAGATCTATATTTCATCTAGTTACAGTATTCCTTTTAATATGTATTTCACTTTTTCCCTGCTTTCTGTGTGGTTAACACTTGGCTTTTAGTTTAAAATTTTACTATATTCCTTGGCCTCTCCTGCATTATTTGCCCTATGTAAAGTTTGCTGCCTATATATAAATATGCATGTTTATAGTATATTATCTATTTCTATTTACAAGGTTACTGAACCTTATTTTGCATTGCGATCCATTCTTTAAGTTTTTTTATAATTGTGAAAGTTGACTTGGACAGTTATAATAACTGTTTGGCGATGGTCTTAGATATGAACTTTGAGGTCATTTATGTTGTTTTTCTTCAATTTCTACTCATTGTCTGCATTATGGACTTTAAAGTCTGGTTGGTTTAATGAGGTAGAAATATTTAATATTGCCATTTACAAGATAAGTTGACATCATGTTAGAGTATGATACCTTTAATTTTTTAAAGACACACAAATTTGCCAAAATGGTTGATGCATTTGTTAGTTAAAGATGAAAATGATTGAATTTTGATGCTAATGAGTGGTGCCTGCTCAGTCTCCAAATTTTGATGAAACTGTTATACTTCTTTATGTTCTTTCAAAGAGAGAAATAAAGAGGAAACTTCGTTAAGGCTTTTGATTTTTGTCTTCTTTTTTTTTTCTTCTTCTTAATATCTTGCCTGATTCAGATATGGAGTATAAATGAGTTGTTTATATCTGCTGGAAAGTTATAGTCTCCCTTCTCATGTCTTTTCATTTTTAACAAATTTGTCCCTCAGATTAACTGAACTTATTTAAATTTTATTCTGGTGGCTATATTGTAGTTGTTGGAGACCATCATAAAGAATTGTGGGGACATTGTCCATATGCATGTGGCAGAGAAAGATGTTCTTCATGAGATGGTTAAAATAGTCAAGAAAAAGGTGAGAATGCTTCTCGAGTAGTTTTTGCTGTCTTTCTCTGGTTCTACTTATTTCCTTTCGCTGAAGATTGTTCATAGTTCTTATGATTCTGTGTTGTAGCCTGATTTTCATGNACAGTTATAATAACTGTTTGGCGATGGTCTTAGATATGAACTTTGAGGTCATTTATGTTGTTTTTCTTCAATTTCTACTCATTGTCTGCATTATGGACTTTAAAGTCTGGTTGGTTTAATGAGGTAGAAATATTTAATATTGCCATTTGCAAGATAAGTTGACATCATTTTAGAGTATGACACCTTTAATTTTTTAAAGACACACAAATTTGCCAAAATAGTTGATGCATTTGTTAGTTAAAGATGAAAATGATTGAATTTTGATGCTAATGGGTGGTGCCTGCTCAGTCTCCAAATTTTGATGAAACTGTTATACTTCTTTATGTTCTTTCAAAGAGAGAAATAAAGAGGAAACTTCGTTAAGGCTTTTGATTTTTGTCTTCTTTTTTTTTTCTTCTTCTTAATATCTTGCCTGATTCAGATATGGAGTATAAATGAGTTGTTTATATCTGCTGGAAAGTTATAGTCTCCCTTCTCATGTCTTTTCATTTTTAACAAATTTCTCCCTCAGATTAACTGAACTTATTTAAATTTTATTCTGGTGGCTACATTGTAGTTGTTGGAGACCATCATAAAGAATTGTGGGGACATTGTCCATATGCATGTGGCAGAGAAAGATGTTCTTCATGAGATGGTTAAAATAGTCAAGAAAAAGGTGAGAATGCTTCTCGAGTAGTTTTTGCTGTCTTTCTCTGGTTCTACTTATTTCCTTTCGCTGAAGATTGTTCATAGTTCTTATGATTCTGTGTTGTAGCCCGACTTTCATGTCAAAGAGAAGATACTGATTCTAATAGATACTTGGCAAGAAGCTTTTGGAGGACCGAGGGCAAGATATCCACAATATTTTGCAGCATACCAGGAGTTGTTGGTACGTTGCTTGAGGATTGTTCTTTTAGTGAGAAATAAATGCAGAAAAACCTATCTGATGAGGCGTGGCACAACTGTTTGATTCATCTTTTCATGCATCATCTCCATAGACTGATTTTATCTTACATTTGTCTACTACTTTTGCTATAAGTAGTGCTAATTGCTCTTTTAGGCTTTGCTAATTTCCATTTGTTTCTCCTATAAAGTGGAAAGGAGGGTGATGTCTCTGGTTCACTTCCATTTGTGCATGCAACTTTATTTGCCATGCTGTGTAGAGAGTATGAGAGGGGGAGAGAGAGACTACATGTGACTTTTTTCCTTTATTTTAGCATTCTCTGAAAAAAGATTTTGTGTATCAGCGTGCTGGGGCAGTATTTCCTCAGAGATCTGAGAGGACTGCACCTGTCTTCACTCCACCTCAAACTCAACCTCTATCTTCTTATCCTCAAAATATTCGAAATGCTGATAATCACCAAGAGGCAGCTGAGTCTTCTGCAGATTCAGAGTTCCCAACTTTGAGGTACTTTTGTTTGCTGGTTTTTTGATGGAGCCTAATTTAGTGGTAACTAATGTCATCAGCATAGCCATTTATTTGACACTTGTGGTGTTTTTTTTTAAGCTGCCTGTGAGAATATGATGTTAAAATTCCTCGTTTGTTATCTTGATTGGTGTACTGTTTCATTTGTTGTTGTATCGTGTTTTCATTTCAGTGGTCCTTCCCCTCTGCTTATGGCTCTATTATTTTTTATTTTTTTATTTTTTGTTCTTTCTTACTTCTGTGTACTAAAGCACTAACTTCACCTGATGATATGAGTAGTTGCAAAAGTAAGATGAACATAGGCTATTTGCTTTGATTTAATGTTAATGGTTGCATTACATTTACTACTTCCTTTACTATCTTCTGTGGTATAATTTGTAATCATGTTTCGTACTTTGGCTGGAATTTGACTAGCTTGTCAGAAATTCAGAATGCACGTGGCATTATGGATGTCCTTTCAGAAATGCTAAATGCATTAGATCCAAGCAACAAAGAGGTACTATTCAAATACTGATTGAATTGACACTTTGCTACTAAATCTTGGTGTGAGTTGGATAATTATTTGACATGTAATGCTCAAACTTATGAAATTTAGATCAGTTATAAGATCTGTACATGCAAGTTTTTAAATGTTTATGATTAAAAAAAAAAAAAAAAAATCAACCTCTTAAACTTTTGAATCCTTTCAGTTATTTTTTCTTTCTCTCTGTACATGACAATCTGATGTTCATTTTCTAGTTGCATGTTGTGCTATCTCTATTCCAACCTGCAGGGCCTTAGGCAGGAGGTTATTGTTGACTTGGTGGAACAGTGCCGGACATACAAGCAAAGAGTGGTACATCTTGTTAATTCAACTGCGTAAGTCATAGTTTTTCACCCACTTGTTTGTGTTGCTTATATTGTAATAACTCTCAATTTTTACTTTTACTCTGTTTCAATATTATGGTGCTCTATTGTTATTTTAATGTCAAGTTTCAGCACTGCTATGTCAACATATATATTTCTGCGGTAAATTTTTATCTATTTCTTTCAGAGATGAATCACTGCTATGTCAAGGCTTAGCACTGAATGATGACTTGCAGCGTGTACTAGCCAAGCATGAATCAATTGCTACAGGGAAATCTGCTCCAACGGAGAAGCCCAAGCCTGAATCTAGTGGAGCACTAGTAGATGTAGATGGTCCTGTAGTTGACACCAAAGATGCTACTAAACAGCCAGATGGGAGGTACTTTGTTTTATCCAAACCGTTTATACTCTGACTAAATCCATTGGAACTGATTTATACTCAATGAATTTATTTTATGTTCAGTGCCTAAGTTTTACCATTATAGGTTATATTATTAAAATTTTGAAGTTCTATGAGGCCGGGGTTTGTGTTTTAACTGGGTACCTGTGACTTAAGACTAGTTATTGGCTTTAGTTGGCCGTTGACTGGCTTGGGATTATGAATTTGATTGCTGTATTAGTTATTTCAAGTTGTCTCTGTGTTTTAAGGATTGTTTGGCTGAATTATCAATTAAGATTATTTTGACTAGATTATAAGTTTTTAAGTGCTTTGAGACCCTAGGAATGGTCAATTTCATAATGTAAATCGAGGTTTTGAATTTCAGTTTTGGCTTATATTTAGAATTTTAATAGCTTTTGAAATATATATTTGTATGGTAAATGAAATCATTTGCTTTTGTTGAATTTCAATGTGTTTCAAGACTGAAGATAAATACGAACTAGTTAGAATGTTGATCAGATTGCTTTTTGTTATTTGAGCTGTAAATACCAGGATGTTTTTGCAGGTCGACCTCAAGTAGTGGTGCTGGGGCTCAACCACTGAATCAGTTATTGCTTCCTGCCCCTCCTGCTGCTAATGGTCCAACTACTTCAACGCCAGTCAATCCCAAAATGGACCTTCTGAGCGGCGATGACTATAGCTCTCCAAAGGCAGACAATTCATTGGCTCTTGTTCCTGTGGGACAGCCGCAATCAAACAGTCCTGTATCTTCTCAGCAGACTGCCCTTGCTCTCTTTGATATGTTTTCGGATGGCACCAACGCTCCAAATTCTGTCAATACTCAGTTTCCCAATGTGGCTGGACAACCAAATCCTTTGGTCCAACAAGCCAATCCTTTGACCCCACAACAAAATCTTTCAGCACCACAATTCCAACAGCAGAATTTTCAAACTCCAGAAGCTGGGTTTTACCAAAATGGAAGTGTCCCAAACATGGGATCACCTCGGTATGAGCAATCACTTTATACACAAGGCACTGGTCCTGCGTGGAATGGTCAGCTTCCCCAGCAGCAGCCACACTCGCCATCATATGGTACACTTCTATTTTATGATAAGACTTTTCATCCATGAAATTTGCAGCTGGCACAGGGCCTATGATTTGTATTCATATATACTGTCATAGCAGGCCACATCGCTTTTTTATTGATGTGATCTTCTGCCTGTGTGTTTTTCTACCAGACTGGCCTTGACTGTACACTTTCTTTTTTTACCCCCATAACAGTCAACTTACGATTCTCCATGAGAATCATAAACAAGATTAGTTTTGTGCATTTCATTCATATTTTTTCTTCTTTCCAAAACTGAAGCGGTGTGCCAGGCTTGTGACTGAATGGATTCTCTATAGAATTTTTGTTCTTTACCTGCTTAACTAAATTTCCAAAGCTCACATTGTGGGACGTTGAAAAGGTTTGCAAAGCAGTGGGTCACTGCCACTACCTCCCTGGGAAGCTCAGGCAGCAGACACTAGCCCGGCAGCTGGTTCTCAATATCCTCAGCAAATGCAAGTTACTCAGGTGGCTGTCACACAGTTTCAGCCTGTGCAGAGTGGCCAATATCCTCAAGGACATCCCTCAGGTAATGAGCAGGTAGTTGGTATGTATATTCAGCCTGTCACAAGTGGTCATTTGTTGGCAACCAATAATCAGGCCATTCAAAGCAATCACTTAGTGGGGTTAAATCCTCAATCTGTCCATGGAGGGCAGTATATGGGCATGCTTCCACAGCAAATGCAAGCCAACCAAATGGCTTCTATGTATCCGCAACAAATGTACGGCAACCAAATGGCAGGATATGGCTACGGTCAGCAGCAACTGACACCGTATCTTCAGCAGCAAATGTATGGGCTATCTGTTAGAGATGACAGTGGGTTGAGAGCGTCTTCCTATCAAGTTTCCAATTCCTCTTACTTGCCGCCCATGAAGAAGACCTCGAAACCAGAGGATAAGTTATTTGGAGACCTGGTTGACATGGCTAAATTAAAGCCAACAAAGCCCACTTCTGGAAGAGCTGGTAGCATGTGAAACCTTGACTGGTTTAGCATTTTATTTCCTAATTTTACATTTTGTTTGCTAACTTGCTTCTTTTATTTCTTTTTTAAATTTTCAATATATATATATATATATTCTTCTATTTTGGTCGTTTTGATGCAATATTTGTGTTGCTCGTTTGGCATTGGAATCATGTACATTGCTTGTAGAGAAAATGAAAAAAAAGAAAGAAAAAAAAAAAGAGTTGACACTGTAGTTGGAACTTGGAATTGGAAGCTGAGTTTCTCTTGGATTTCTGGATATTTTATTTCGATTAATAATATCAGATGACTACCATTTCTTTCAGAATTTTTTGACTAAGATGCTATGGGAGTTGTCTCTAGTTATTTAGTATGCTTTATTACTCGTCTGTGGAGAACTCCCCTTCTGCTGGCAAGTTGAATTGTGAATGATATTTGCTGATAAAAAATGTTTGTTCTTCAACCTATTCCCCAAGATATGTATGAGTCGTACTGTTGGCTTCTTGCAGGCTTCCATCTCGGACTTCAGCAATTGACTTTGGTCATTTGTTCAAGGTAAAGAAATGGAAAAAGAGATTACTACTTACTAGACAAGGTCCTGAGAGCGTCTCTTATATTAGCTGGAATATTTTTTAGCTTGTATCAATGTGTGAGATGATAAATTCTATTTATTTATACCCTGCAGGAAGTTGATCGTCCTTGTTCATCCTTCTTGTTTAATTTCACTGTCGGTCAATTGTACTCAAAACAATTAAAGAAATCACCAATTTACCAAATTGAGTTCTAGATCCATTCCATCATTCATTCAAGAAAATAGTTGTATGAGTTGGCAAAGCACATGAATTCTATATTTAAGCATTGTTAGACATGCTATCCTAATTTTTCATAATTTTTTTATTCATAAGTGAGATATCGAAGCTCACATTAAAGCTTGTCTAATCTAACGTAATTGCACAAATGTAGTAGATACTTCTCTTGTGATTCGAACATTACCCCTTAGGTATAGCCAACTTCAATGGTTGAAGGGTTCGCCATCTGGTCACAAAGGGTGAGATAATTCTTCGTAAATTTTGCAAATGACAATCAAGAACAAACTAAAAGATTCCATCAATTGGAACCCATGTATAGCATTTCTAATCTTAATGCATTCAAACAAGATACAAATTAGAGTAAAACCTTGCAAATTGCAAGGTTTGTAATTCACAACAGAAGTTATTGAGATGTATTATAGCAACTAAATTGATTCAGTTCAATCCAAAAAGTTATCCATGTATTCAACATTTTCTTGCTCAGATTTTTCATTGAGCAAATATTTCTTACAAAATACATCTCTCCAACACTGAATAAGAGGCAAAGAAAAACTAACATCTTAAAACCCCTTACCTTTATCAAATTCAAGAAGAAAATGCATTATAAGATTAACATGAAATCTGTTTGATGAAACAACCGCAGCAAAAACTTGTCATAAAGGCATAGAGATACCTGCCACAAAGAAAGATTAAAAAATTATAAACAATCACAATGGTTACATTAATGATAACTAACATTTACATCCGAATACACTGCTCATCATATTAAGCACAACAAATATCAGATGCAGTCTCTTAAATGGGCAAGGAGTTATAGACATGTTTGTGGAACAGGTTCTATGATCCTTCGTTGTCTTAAACTTTTATTACTTCTACCATGCAAATTCTTCAGTTGCTTCTTGAAACAATGTAGTACCATATTGACAGTGTGTTTTGTACTGGAACTATTTTAATTCTAACATGCCATCCCTGATGGAATTAATAATACTTCCTATGTTTACCTGTTTGTGTTCCGAGTAGCAAACAGAAGATCAATCATTTTATTTACGGACACAGCCACCATGTTGATAAGCTACCCACCATGGAATATGTAATTCTTTTAATGGACCTTTCAGAAGGTCTAAACTTTACAATTATTCATGCCTATTACCATTAGGTGATGTAGCAACTGCCACACATCTATTTGTTTAGAGGATTTGTCGGGNGAGATAATTCTTCGTAAATTTTGCAAATGACAATCAAGAACAAACTAAAAGATTCCATCAATTGGAACCCATGTATAGCGTTTCTAATGTTAATACATTCAAACAAGATACAAATTAAAGTAAAACCTTGCAAATTGCAAGGTTTGAAATTCAGAAAATAAGTTATTGAGATGTATTATAGCAACTAAATTGATTCAGCTCAATCCAAAAAGTTATCCATGTATTCAACATTTTCTTGCTCAGATTTTTCATTGAGCAAATATTTCTCACAGAATACATCCCTCCAACACTGAATAAGAGGCAAAGAAAAACCAACATCTTAAAACCCCTTACCTTTATCAAATTCAAGAAGAAAATGCATTATAAGATTAACATGAAATCTGTTTGATGATACAACCGCAGCAAAAACTTGTCATAAAGGCATAGAGATACCTGCCACAAAGAAAGATTAAAAAATTATAAACAATCACAATGGTTACATTAATGATAACTAACATTTACATCCGAATACACTGCTCATCATATTAAGCACAACAAATATCAGATGCAGTCTCTTAAATGGGCAAGGAGTTATAGACATGTTTGTGGAACAGGTTCTATGATCCTTCGTTGTCTTAAACTTTTATTACTTCTACCATGCAAATTCTTCAGTTGCTTCTTGAAACAATGTAGTACCATATTGACAGTGTGTTTTGTACTGGAACTATTTTAATTCTAACATGCCATCCCTGATGGAATTAATAATACTTCCTATGTTTACCTGTTTGTGTTCCGAGTAGCAAACAGAAGATCAATCATTTTATTTACGGACACAGCCACCATGTTGATAAGCTACCCACCATGGAATATGTAATTCTTTTAATGGACCTTTCAGAAGGTCTAAACTTTACAATTATTCATGCCTATTACCATTAGGTGATGTAGCAACTGCCACACATCTATTTGTTTAGAGGATTTGTCGGGGGGCAATACTACACTTACAACCTAATCTTACAAACTTTTTCTCACAACTCCGACGTAACAGCTCGCAATTGGTTTCTGATAAACTTCAAGTTTGCTTGAACCAAATTGTCATACTCCAAATCTTGATTTTAACACAAGGGATGTGAGCAATCTTAAACCACTATTTTCTTTTATCTCTTTTCTCCAGTATTTTATTCTTTATTTTTAGCAAAGGAGAAGCTCTACACTATAAATATATAGATATTTTATTTTGTAAAAATCTGTAATCTCTGTGAAGTTATATACACTACCTCTTGACAACCATAAATATATGGATGTATCTAAGAAAGGTGCGGTGCTGTACAACCTACACTGAATGAGTGGCTTATAGATATTCAAATCTACATAAGTTTTAAGTGCTGTCTGGTTGGTGGAAAGATCTTCTCCCAGAAAGCATAGTATACTTTTGACAATATCTAACAGTTAAATTTTCGAAGAGCATTTAACAATTCCAAGGCTATGATAATATTAATTAGTAATAATTAATAAGTTAGAGAATTTTAAGGCTATAATATTTTTATGCATATCATAAATTAACGAAGAGAGTTCCTAAGTGCTTGAAGTTTTTCTCACATTCGACAAAGGAAGTCCTTTAAATCAATATAAATACAGCTAAATGTCTGCGTGTATGTGCAGGAAAGAGATAAAAAACGACCTTGAGGAACCAAACCCCAGCTCTGAGAATCGGTGGAAAGAAATGATTTCAGCCGAGCCGAAGCTACTGCACTATGCAATGGCATCATCGACATCAAGCAGCTCAATTCCACTGGTAATCTAAATCCAACAAAAACAATCAGAATATTAGTTTATTTTTGCTTGCATTTTCTCACAAATCAAGCATTGGTTATTGGGTACACTCTGAGAAATATCTGACCTTGAAATGCGCTTCATTGAGGAGGAGACCTGAGGTTGAGAGCTTGATTTCAATGGAGAAATTGTGGACATAACCGATTTGTTGGTTCTCAGCTTGACAGAAAAAGAGGGTAAGCGGGTTGATGATAACCGTGAGAGAATCCCTGATCCAGCCATTGTCACAGAGCTCTTACCAGGGTTTTAAGCTATTGCTAGGGTTTATACAAATCCCGTAATGAATAACTTGCGCCTAGTGTGTAATGCGCTTTAAAGCTGTTTGGGTTCGGTTTTATATATTTCAATCAGTACGTTTAATTAAAGCACTCCAACTACGGCCGAAACTACCCGAACTTTGAGGAATGTACTTTTCCACCCCTAGTTTCAGAAACAGCATTTTTCCACCCCATTTTTTTAAATTTAAACGTTAAAAATAACGGCACAAGGGTATTGACGTGATTTCATATTCCCAGATTGAACATAACCAACCCTAAACCTAATTAAACCCTATTATGTAAATAAAAAAATACATTAAAAAATAATAAAAATCCTCAACTCTTTCACTTTTCCCCCTGACTTTCTAGTGTTTATCAACTCATATCTCAAAAAGCAAATAGTAGAAAAACAAAACAGAAAACTCCTCTCACTTCTTCCCTGTATTTTTCAAATCAAATGTTGTCAAAAGATAAATTCCATGAAATTCCTCCTATTCTCCCCTACATCTATCAACTCCATAATATAATTAATAGCATTTATCTAGACAACGACAACAACGCCTATCTGAACAACATCAGCACGATTAGTCTTGGATATATTGACATTTTTTTTCTCTTATTTTGAATAATTTGTGATTTGATTTGTTAATTGAGTAATTCGGCATTTTTTAACTTAATTATTGATTAATTTCGGTTTTAATACTTATTAATTGGGAAAATAATGAATAGTAAGGGTAAAATGGGTATTTACAAGGTCAAAGCTGGTCAACAGATAATTGATATGGATGGACAATTAACATTGGGTGGGAAATTATGTTCCTCAAATTTGGGGTGGGAACATGTCATTCACTATTCAGCCCTCCAACTACTGTCAAATGCTTTGATAATTCAGGCCTACAAGGGCATTATAGGTTACAAAAAATTAATTATTTAAATAATTTTATTTTATTACAAAAAATACACATAATACGTTGTTTAAAATTAAAGCTCCGGAATTTAGAGAAAATCTAGTACAAAATTATAAAGTAGTAATAAAATTAGTAGAGTAAAATAACAGGATACAACTCTTTTTGTGTTTGCTTCCAACCAACGTCATCAAGTAATTTTGAGCCGTTGATCTTGGAGAAGACGGTACAGATTGTCAAACGGCGAAACGATATTGTAGATCATGACACACCTAATAAAAACTTCCTGATCAAACTGCTTTTCCGTTCTCAAATCGAAGGCAATTGAAAGCTCTCAGATAGCTTCAACAGGTGAGATTCTTACCTTTTCTCGTTTACTTTATTATTATTATCACTGTTTTGATTATTTGTTTCGTCTCTCGATCTTGCCGTACCGATCTCTACAGTTTGTTTGGTCGCCTTGAAAATTTCTGAAAAAACGTAAGATTTTTATTTTTATTTTTATTTTTTTTTTGTTCCTTTGTTTATCGGATTCTGGGCTATCAGTTTTGTAGTTTTGTCCAGTGAAGATGAGCTTGTTTATGATTATTTTAATTGTTTTTGTGTAGATTTATCATATTACTGGATGTTGTGAAAGCTCAAAACTTTTTGTTAAATTCCTGTTCTTTTGCTAAGAATTAGAATAACGAGACTTGTGTGTTTTGTTAGAATTGAAATCTTAGGATTTAGAAACTTGATCGATGGGAATTACATATTTGGCTTTAGTTTTGTTATAATTTGTGCGGATATGAAGCTCTCCTTGTTGCAATTATTGTGTAGTATATTATTATTCACCGGGAATTGATTAATTGTTGTTCATGATGTTTGTTTCTTTGATTCATGCAGTTATTTGGTAAAAGTTTGATATTCTTTTTGAACTCTATCGAGTACATAATCAGCAACTAAAATGCAGGTTAGCTACTATTGATATGATTACTCTTGCTTTAATGATAGTTTATTTTGTGTGGTTATGGTCACTTGTTCTTTGACGTTGTCAGACATAAACCTAGAAATAAAAAATAGATCATGTTATATGGATTGCTCCATTTGCTCACTTATCCTTTGACATTATATTTCATGTTTTGTTGCATATTTGATACTCATGGATGAGTATGAGTCCTGAATATGGTTGTGGATAAGCAGGAATAGAGAAGGATTTATGTGGCTGGAGCAAATTAGTTTGGACTTTAGAAAACTTTGACATCAGTTGCATTCCATATGCAGGCATCGAGGGCAAGGTTATTTAAGGAATACAAAGAAGTGCAACGAGAGAAATCAGCTGACCCAGATATTCAATTAGTTTGTGATGATTCCAACATATTTAAATGGACTGCTCTTATCAAGGTAGGTGATTTTATGATGAGAAAAAAGGTCAACTTTGTTTTTGCTTGACTTGCATTGTCTAATTTCCTATTCAGGGACCATCAGAGACTCCTTTTGAGGGTGGAGTCTTCCAGCTTGCTTTTGCTGTTCCAGAGCAATATCCTTTGCAACCTCCGCAAGTGCGGTTTTTAACAAAAATATTCCATCCAAATGTGCATTTTAAGGTATGAGTCCCAGTATGATTCCTTAACTCGTTGTTTGGTTCCTTTGACAAAAAAGGGGAGATGAACATTGTTTAAATCTTATGAGGGATTCAACTAATATCATAAGCAACATCAGCATATTAAATGTTCATGAAACTGAATTGTTCTTTAGTTCTAGCATGATGTTTGTTTGTTTTCTTTTTGAATCATATAGTTGATTTGAAGATTTGCTAAAAAAATTTGTTGAAAGATAAATATTTTTTTTCCTCTTTGTTTAGCTTCAACCTATCAAACATTAAACAACTTGTTGGTTGTTAAGTTGAATTATACTTACTTTTGATGCAAAAGGTGTTAATTGAGTATAGTATTGTTAATTTCTCTTTACAGACAGGAGAAATATGCCTTGATATCTTGAAAAATGCATGGAGCCCAGCCTGGACACTTCAGTCTGTTTGTAGGGCTATTATTGCTTTGATGGCACACCCGGAACCTGATAGTCCACTAAACTGTGATTCAGGTATATTGATGTTTTTCTCACATCCAAAGAATAGGAATTAATACAAGCCTACTATTAAGTTGCTTTCATTATAAAGAAGTTTCATCTTCTGGGCTTTTCCTTCTCGTGGACAGGCAACCTGCTGCGTTCGGGTGATACCAGGGGATACCAATCCATGGCAAGGATGTACACTAGACTTGCAGCAATGCCTAAGAAAGGCTGACTTTAGTGCTGTTTAATGTGATGAATCATGAGAGGATTAATCGGTCCAAAAGAATTATTTTCGAATTTCAAACTTACATTGTTTCTGTATTTATAATTATTTTCGAATTTCAAACTTACATTGTTTCTGTATTTATACTACTATAAAAAGCATCATTGAAACTGACATGTCATATGTGACACACTATGTTTGCCAAGGATGAATGTAAAAGTTTTTTTTTAAGTGTTGTCTATTTTCAGTTGGTTTGTACTTTTTTTTATTTTTTATTTTTTTTGGAAAAATCATTCAATAGGTATAGGTCTGCATATATATATATATATATATATATATATATATAGTGGAAAAGTAGAAATCTTCTCTTTTAGGTTGGACAAATGATAAAAGACTACAAATACTAAAGAGGTTAGTCTAGAATAAAATTTGGGCAATGCTAGATTTACAAATATTTTTTTTTGTATAAAGTGATGTGATAGAAGATAAATGAAAGAGTGAATATGATAAGTTTGACTTTTTGTATTCATTTATTCATTTATCTCTTATTATATCACTTTGTATAAGAAATCTTTGGAAATTTATTTGTACGTCTAACATTATTGATAAAATTTTCCATCTGCCTTGTGTCTGTCTTGACAAAGGCTGGGGAGCATGTGCATGTACAGGAAGATCTTAATGAAATTACTTGCCGTTACTAAATTAAGAGAGAATTGGAATTACGTCTTATGAGGATTTTTGAACTACTCAAAGGGGAAAAGAAAACAATTACAAATATTACATTAAAAAAATTAATTCTTCAGAAACTTGTCGAACCAATCACTAGCTTCTTTAACCATCAAGGATGTCATCTGGTGCCCAATTCCAGGTTGTGCAATCAACTGCATGTACAGGAAATAATAATTGTATATTATAAAGCACAGAAAATCATGAGAAACAGCAATGGCAAAGACAATTATTCAAATTTATAAAGCTTTTAAAACTTATTGTTGTATAAATACAGAGCTTAAGACTTCTGGACGATGGCGGAGCAGAAAACATTATTTCATTTACATAAGACATTATAATTGCTGCACCAGATAAAGCAAGTACGTACCTTGAATTTATCCACACTATTGGTGTCTCCATAGGCTTTGCATGCTCTTTCTTTGGGAATTTCCAAACCTGCAAGTGGACAGCGAGGATCTTCTGCGCCTATATTTTTAAAATCAAAACAACATTGTAATGCACAATGAACATTTAGACTCAAGTAAAAGATTATTTCCAAAAACTATTTAAGTGAAAAAAACTAGAAGAAAGGTGCAGCTTTATAAAGATTGCAGGTCTTCTAAATCAGGGGATAACCTATAGAAGATGGGGGAAAAAAAAAAAGCAAGAGAAATCACTTGTCCCCAAAGTCCAAGGGCGCAATGATTGAAAACCCTTACTGTGAGAATAAGCCTCTGCATAGAACAATTATTGTAGCAAAAGAACAATTGTATGGGGGAGATTGAAGTTTACGAAATAAATACATACCATTCACAATAAGCAGTGGGCGTGGAGCAATGGCTGGAATTGTGTAAGGAGAATCAAACTGGGAAGCTAGACCAGGAGCAATTCTATCCCAGACCTGTTCAGAAGAGTAAAAACAATAAGAGTTAAGAGGCAATCTGACTTCAGATACACACTGTAAAAGAATAAGCTAAAAAGGTTGACTTCTGAAGGATGAAAACAAGATCATCATATTAAATGCATATGTCTACATCCGAAAGCTAATTCTTAAATTCATAACTGGTGGTATTCGCATGATAGTCACAAGGATCAGCACATGGAAACACATCATAAAAGACAACAATATGAACATGCCATTGAAGGATAAACATAAAGTTGTATGCTTATCTATAAGGGCAAAACAGTAACCAACCTTCTCCACCACTTCTTTATCAATAGCGCTCTTACCTAAATCAATCCTTGCTTCTGAACCAAAAACAAAGAACATCAGTCAAACAAATGCTAGAAGCATAGAGAAGATCCACAGATGCTTTCATTTTATTTAATTCCCAATCAGTTTACCACAAAACTTCAGATATAAAGGCTTCACACTGTAGTGATTTACCTTCAAACACAGCCTTTATACTGTCAACTCGAGCTTGCCATTGATTGTTGTCTATAGCCCATCGAAATCCCTACAATTTATTATTTTATTGTATAAAAGTAAAGTCATTCAAAAGTAAAATTGTTACACGTTCAAAAATAAAAATTAGAATTTTATCAACACACCTGAACTCCAATTATAGGAACAACCACTGCATAGCGGGTGTCAGAAGCAGCACCAAACCATGCATGCATTCCTACATTGGTTAATGACCACATCAGTTTGCATACTACAGTAAGTATGGAAATAATGTGTCAATTCTTTTTAATTTCTCTTAACCAACCTCCAAGTGATTCACCAGTGATACCTATCCTCATTGGGTCTATATCTTCTCTCTGTGTTAAATAATCTGCTAGTTTTATCAAGTCCCAGGCCTGCAAGATTTAAAGTCCTAAGTTGCTATTTCAAGAACCAAAGAAATTCAGAAAAGAGAATACTATGGTTTAGTTAGCATTTTTTGTTGAGCCATAGAAACAAGGAAAACTAAACAACAAAACTTTCCACTTATTGCCAACTCAATTATCCCAAACAATACTGTAAGCAGGTAAACAATGCAGAAATAACTACATAGAGCAAATGAAGAAATGACCGAGGAATTACTGTATCAAATATGAATGGCATCGTGTCGCCCTTCTTCCATGATGAAACGAGAGCCTGCATCCAAATAGATTAATGGGATCAAGATCATCAAAGAAACATTTCACTGCTCAAGGACTAACTAAAACCATAGATTCTTCCACATTCACATAAGAAATTTGCAACTTTGCACTGATACAAGTTCTAGTATTCTCGCAAATGAAAAACAATTATCCTTTGAAGATTCCTTTAACAGCCAAAAAGGTGATACGTGGAGAAGAACAAAATTTGCATAAAATCATTTTTTCTTTCTCAAGTTTTATAGCAAAAACAATTGAAACAGACAAACTTGAAGCAAAATTAAGAGTAGAAAATACACACATCTCGATAAGTGGTTAAGTTGCTAGCACGTTCCCCATGGTAGCGAGAATCAATAGCAATCGCTATGTATCCCCGAGAAGCATATGCCTGAAATAAACAAAAATAAGAGGAGCTCAACATAAAAAAAAATGAAGTTTAACCAAAACGGAAATCAAGATAAAACCCAGAAGAGTAGCTACCTCAAGCAACGGCCGTAACCACTCTTTGCACTTATTTGTACTATGCAGAAAAACAATAGCAGGCCTTCTCCGGTGTTCACTTTCTTTCAAACTTAAAATCAACACAGGCAAACGCCCCTGCTCTCCTGCCTATCAACAATGAACATAATACCATTGTTATCTTCAAAACCAAAATCATGCAACGTGTACATCACATGCATAGATACTTAAACAAATTCACTAGCTTGAGGGGTTTAACAAAATCTTAGAAATTTTTAGACAGGATGAATTAACCAAACAAAAGAAATAACCAGTTTAGATATTGAAAATAAAAAAATAGAAATAATAAGGGGAAAAAATATCAAATACCTCAGTATGCAAGTAAAGATTTTCTTCTTTCAGTAACTCCTTAAAATTTTCTATCTTAGCCTTTGGACATGACTCCATTGCCTAGTAAAAACATCAATAAGAATAGATTAGTTCAGTACAATCAACAATTCTTCATCAACGTAACCACAACGATAATAACCTCACTAAAGCGTGGAGGTGAAGCTTCCTGGAATAAAGGATTTGCCACAGGTTTTGCAGGTTCCACGGTCAACGGAACTGCCAATTCCGACAAGTTAACCAGAACAACGGCTTTAGATTTCAAAACATATTGAATATCAGATTTACTAAACAAATCATCAACTATTAACAGAGTCACAAGTAACATAAAAACATGTGTGATTTGATTGGCAGCTGTGAAAAATTGAATGAATCATGTGAAAACAATCAAGCAGAGTACCTTCAGCGGATCTTCTGCTCCGCAAAACTTTGAGAAAATCAGATCGAATTTTCTCAGCATCGTCGGCACCTTGCCTATCCATTTCAGTATGTGTAGAGCTAGTGATTGCTTTGTTTCTGATTTGGATCCCGTATTTATAAGGAAACCTTTTTGGCGGGCAGGTCCACACACAGAATGCGTGTGGAACACACGTGTAGAGTTTTAGAGGATGCACGTGTGTGGTAGATGGTGTGATCAACATGGATGAATAGGACAGGGGTGTTTATGAACGGAGGATAAGAAAAACTGAAACAAGAAGCTTCATCATTGTTTTTGTTTAGTTCTTTTCTCTTACCCAAAACAGTTTGTCAGTAGCCAACCAAAGTTTAATCATATGTATTAAAGTCGCACATGTTTTTTTTAAGGTATTCAATTATAATAATAAAATTTAATAGAGTTAAGTCAGACTGTCAGGGCCGGTCTACTGTTTTCCTCTATTATTGCAACTGCCGCTTCATGCTAACCAGTAACCACTATTATCAAACAATTTCACTGAAAGTACACTTCTGAATAATTTTTTTTTTTTTTTTACCATAAATCGAAGTTTAAAACTTCTTCGATAATACATTTAAAAATTCTAATTGATTATCAAATAAATATTTTTACAAAAATATATAAATACTATTTCCTTTTAAATTAGAGTCGAGGGGATTACTAACCCAAAACGTAAAGCACATAAAAACGGGCAAAGGAAGGTCGAGGAAAGCTCCATGGATAGGACATTGTCACATTGGAAGATAAAACCAGGCAACGAAAGTTCACAGAAGCTTCCTTTGTTACCAGTTAATTAGTTCTTAAAAAGGGCAATGTCAACGGCATCATTCAGCTAGCAGGACACTACATGTGCGCATCAATTGTATTCATTTGGTGCCATTGAGATGTAAAAGCATTTTATGTTTTAAATTAACCAGCAACTTCGTTACCAATTTCCCAGCATAAGAAAACAGACAGATAAGCTCCAATTGCGGAAACCCTAAAACTCAGGGCAATATGATTTATTAGATAAATAAATCACTCAAAGTAATAAACAACCTAGAAATACTTTTTAGCTATGTGATGTTAAAGACCAAAGACATTTCTAACAATTAGAGCCCCGGGAAAATTATAACCACACAAATTATTAGCATGGCCAACCATCTTATAGGCATCCTAATGTCTTTTTCCTTGGTTAAAGCTCTTAATCTATGAATCCATTTTCTCATTTTCAATGGGCAAGCCAACCTTCATCAGCAGATCATTCTTACAAGTGGAAGTTATTGTAGCGGGAGTCTGAGACAATTCCACGGCTGCTGGCAGTATAGGTTTTCCAGTGCTATTGCCACAAGGCTCCTTGTGATTCTTCATCTCCATTCCAGCTTTCATGGTGCCATTTTCTACGGGTTCTAACCTCTTTGGCGAGCACATTGTTTCTGCAACAGAAAAGAAGAAAAACCATCTTTCATGTTTACTTAATGAACCAAATGAAAAGAATCTGTTGACGATTAGGTGAAAATGAAAACATCTGCTGTTTTGAAGGATCCACCAATGCCTAATGTTAAAGTAAACGACAGAATTTCTCACTTTATGTATTTTGATTTTATCTTGAATTTTTAAACCAATAAATTCTGACCTTCATCTATACACAAACAATCTTTACCTAATAAACAAAAATAATAATATCAAGAACTGACTTTGAATTTTTTTTATGTAACAAGAAGTTCAAATCCCTTTTATATCATCACATTAAGTACCCATTCCCAGTTAATTCGCTTGAGTACTACAATTAATGGAAATGTTAAATGCCCCTTTAAACCGACCAAAAATTAAAGTTGTTTGGATAGGGGGCCTAACTATAAAAATTACTCAAACATTAAGAAGACAGATTCCAAATTTTCAAACATGTGAGAATTGTAGGTCTTAACAGATTCTCCAATAGCAACTGACCCTTATAGAGGATGGTTCTAGCTTCCAAGAAGACCTTTAATGGCTTTAAATATAGGATTACAAAACCAAAAAAAAAAAAACTTACCTTTTATGCTTCCAACAGTTATGAGATCGTTGAGAATATCCCGAAAGGCAGTTAAGATGATCCTTTCTTGCTCTGCATAAATCCTTGTGCATTCATGCCCATTATATTTTTGAGTTGTGCTTGGACAACAGCCTGCCAATCCAGTTGGTGACCCAGCTGCCATAAACATTGTATCTTCTTCATCACACATTAATGCACGTGTTCCAGGAGACAATGGCCTCTCATTTTGCATATCACAGCCATCTGCTCCAGAACCACTTCTTTCTTCCACATCCATGCTGTTCCCAATTGAAGGATCATTAGGGGCACCATTATTAAATGCATTTCCTTGCTTAGAATCCTCAATCTCTTGAGTGGATGAAGCAACATCAGTCTTAGTATTGTTTCTCTGTGTTTTTGTATCCATTTCGCCTATTTTTTCTGCAGATTTAGAATTACAGAAACAAAAATCATATCATATATTTCATAAAAATGGAGCAGAGTTACACCTTCAGTTACTCTTTCGAAAAAAACAATGACAAATAAACATTGCCGTAGGGGTGACCTTGCAGATGCAACGATTGAACATTTTCCTATTAGTCATTTTTCCGTTTACGATTTTAAGATGAAAAATGGGAATATTTAATTAATTGCTCAAGACAATAAACCAAGAGGGGAAATGGATACTCAATTTGAAAATAAAAATAAATAAATAGACAGGATTATGTATTGAAACCTCAAGTATAGATAGAAAAAATACCATATCACTGAATGTTTACAATCCAAAAGTAGACCCTGAAGAAAATAATAACACTGAAAATAATACCAGACATAAGTCTGAAATTTTTGGTTAGATAAATACAAAGGACAATTCAAAATACTTGTAGCATTAAGCAAAATAAAGAAGAAAAAAAGAAAAAGAAAGGAAAACAAGTTATTGAGTTTTCCCTGATAAATACATGAGTCCCATAATATGACTCAGAGTAAAGAAATTTCTAAATGAAATTTATAGTGTATAAATATATTTTTTAAACTACTTGTGAACATCTGCACAATTACTTTAATTTCAAACACTATACATCTGTGGAAAATTACTCTTATGGACTACTACATCCGCTGCGATTGATAACAGAATGATAGACCAAGAAACATATGTTATTATAATCATTTTAGCCCCGTGCTTGGCTGAAAATTTAAAACCAAACTAAAATGCAAAGAAACATACAAAATATTAACAATTATTTTTAGAAATCAGTACCTGTGAGAGTCATAGTAGCTTTTGATGAAAATACAACCAAAAGTGAGCATAGGTCTTTCATATCCTGTGGTTGAAGGATGTCTGCTAATGGAGATCTTCAATCAAGAGCAGTTATGTTAGTTAGAGTTCATAACAAAAGTGGAATAGAAAGCTTCCATTAACTATGAGCAAAAAGTGGACAAAGAGAAGCTTACCTATACGTGAATTTTGAAGATCCTGATATGGCTGTATTAGTGGAACGAGAAACAGGAACAGATTGAATCGGAGAGACAGCAGAATTTCGTAGATGGTGTTCCTGAAGAAAAAAGAGAGAGAGAGAGAGAGAGAGATGACTGCCACAGCATTAACATATCTTTCATGAATACTTCTCTATACGTACTGCATCCCCTAAGTTGAGCCATAGATATAGGAACTAATAATGACCTGGCAACCAAAGATGAAAAATGCAAATTGTATACGCTCATGTAAGTACTACTAGCAGTAAACAAAATCTTTTATGACAATGATGAAATTACTTATGTCAAATTACAAGACCCCAAAATAATTATTATAAAGAACTATTTACTTAAACATAAAGTTACACATAAAATTCAACTAATTGATCATTTTGATCTCTAAAAATACATATGCTTACATCGAAGGATGGCATAGAAGAATTACCTGCTGACAAGGTGCATTCCTTTTGATGGATTGATCTTTGGCTGCTACACCAAATAAGAGTTCCTCACATTTTCTCTTTTTCATTGCCAGAGGAGTCCCATATCCAGATGAACCAATGGCCCCACTAATTGCCGCATTGGCTGCTCTTTGCATGAAGGCAATAGCATTATGATCCCCGTGAAAAAGAGCCCTTCGTTCTTCACTTCCTTCGAAGTTTTTGCAGTCTAAACATTTACAATTTTCAGAGCACAGAATATTGGCCTGGAAGCACTCGCAATACTTCTTGAGGCATCCTGATTTCTTACAGTGACATCCTTTATTATGCTTTACTGCCAGTTGAGCATCCCTTGCATCTTCCTGGAGTTGTTTTGAGGCATATTAAAGGTATGTATCTCACAACAATAACACTTAGATTGGATTAATTTATGCAACATATTAAATTCATGATCAAGAACTACACGTGTTTGCCTGCCCTTCTTCCTGCTACTCCCCATGCAGCTACACAGCAAACAAATTGATCATAGAAGAAAAAGAAAAATCTGCACTGCAATAAGAGCAGGGACCTTAATGAATTACTATGTCCTTTTAAGTCAAATCCAGATATGGACAGAATTGATAGAACTCAACTTGTAATTTCATTATCCGTCATGACTTGAAATTGGAACATTTTGGTCCATTTCACAAACATAAACAGTTTAATAACTGTTGACTGCCTGATTTTAACTGAAAACAGCAAGTACTAGTATAATGAAAAAGAACAAACACGAGTTCCAAAATAATCTTCGACATCTTACCTATATTTAAAAATATATATATATTGAATGAAATCCAATGATATATTCCCTCTGTTCCGGAACTTGATCACGACACTTCATTCAGTAAATTGAAGCCATCACAATAGCACTTTAGAACTTAACAATATTACTACAGGTCAGACAATATTGTTTAAAAACCTATTGGAGTCAGATTACTTACCCTAGCATCCTGAGATGCATGTGGACTGCTAGCAATCTTTGGTCTGAATGCGTGTGGATTGCGCTCTAGGGTTGTTTCAACAGCCTCTTTCCTAGCAGCCTCATGCTCCACATTATTATGACAATTTACACAATTGCACCCATCACAAAAAATTCCAGCTGCAAAGCACTCACAGTACCTAACAAGTGCGAAAATTTGCTCGTTGATAATTGTAAACCAAAAAGCAAGAGTGGCAACAAGTCTAAATATAAAATAAAGTGCATTGGAGCTCCAAGGAATATTCTACTATCAGGCACAAGTTCATGAAAGTTGGCTTAGAAACTTAACGATTCATTCAACAAATTAAGTGCCTTCCAAGATACATGTGGCAGAAAAAATCACATTGAAAATTACCAGGATGGCATTGTTTAAGTCCACAAGTGTCCCATGAGCATAATAAAGATAACCACATGTTACATCATGTTTCTAATAAAAGAATTTGGCTCATACCCAATTGCTTACATGAGAGTGAATAAGGATTAAGGAGGAGGGTAGGAAACCTCAAGAGAAGAAAGAACGGCGACATGATCCATTGCTCCTGTGTGAATGATACTTCTTAAAACCTAAACTTGTATGAAAAATTTATTTATACTTCAGGAACATCTTGCATTGTCCCACCACAGAGAAGTTGAATTCTATCACTTCTTTTGGAGATGTGCTAATAAAGAAGGCATGAAGATATTACCTAGTTTACACTATATCACAGTATCTATACAAATATGGTCAATCATCAAATAGCCCACACTTTCTAGAAGGGCACAAGTAATTCACTTAAACAACCACCTTCATTCTTTGGAGGCAGTCCCGCTCATAAAGTTGTGAGGTAGCAACAGTGTCAAAAATAGGAGCAAACACAAGGAAAGGGTTTAGACATCTGTCATGGTTGAAAATTTTAAATGGAGGCAATGTACTTACAACTTCAAGCATCGGGAATTTCTGCAATTACACTGCTTGTGTTTCTTTGGAGTACCATCTTTTGCTTCATTGTTACCACGCGGTTGTGATCTAGGCGATTCTTGCTTGCTGAATAGATAATGTGGAAGGGTCAATAGATGACTTAGTTTAGGTCTATGCAATCTCAAACATCTACAAAAACTTCAAGCCACCTTAAATTACAGAAACAAAGCCATTAAAAGATTTTGGCCAGCACGGAAAAAGTATGTTGATAAATCAATAGCATAGTATGTTGATAAATCAATAGCATATCTATCAACTCAAGACAAAAATATAATTAGTCAAAAGCATTAAAGTAATAACTTCAGATGTCACTTATTAGGAACAAAAGATTTAAAATTAAATGCTAAAGATAGTATCAACAGCAACAAAAACCAACCACAGGGCTGGAACATGAGCTGAAATATGTATACCAAAGCCCCCAAATCTGTCTTGCCAGCTGCACAATATACAAGAGTACCTGTTTCTAACGTTTTTGGGCGCTCATTGTGCACATCAATTTCTGCTAATATTTAGAAATTTCCAGAAATTTCAATGCCCAGACTATAACCTCATAGACTATCAAATATTATATACCCATTAGTAAATATAAAAAGAAAAAATTTAGAAAAAATATATATCACACTAACATCAACAAATATTACCTTCAGCACGCTTAATAACTAATATTCAAACTTAATTCAACAAATCCAAAACCAAATCATTGATTAAAAAACAAAAAAATTGTAACCCTTTATTGTAAAGGACAATAAGAGATTTCTGAAGAACTTACGCCATATGTGGTGTCGGCATTTGAAGTTTTTGCACCGGGTGTGGTATCCGATGCATCATGGCCGCCTGCTGCGGTCGTGCTTGCCATTGCGGCGTTACCTGTGGCTGTGATCTTATCTGCCATTGCACTTGTAGCTGTGACTCTGGCTGTAACTGCAATTGTACATGTGGCTGTGGCTGTGGTTGTGGCAGTGACGCTACTTGCAATTCCACTTCCTTCTGCGATTTCGGATGTGACTGTGACTGTTGCGGCTGTGAGTGTGACTTTATCGACTGCTCCGACAATATGGCGTTGGCCGATGCTCGGCAAACGGTGAAATCCAATTGCCTCGCCAACTTCTTCGGCGCAAAATCAGAAATCTTCTCACCTTGTTCCATTAATCTTCAAATAAGTAAATAACATTCAACAAAACAAAATTCAAAATCCACCTCTTGACCACAACAATCCAACAAACAATAATATCAACATGCCGTTTTAGACTTCCGTACCCGCCAAACTCTGAATCAATTAACCAGAAAAACCTTCCCAAAAGAGTTGAATCTAAAATCCTCCCCCGATTTGTACGTACAACAAAAAAAAAAAATGATACTTTAGCTTTCACTGACGAAAAATTAAACAAAATAGATTTGGGAGACAGCTGTGTCGTCTTCAACTCACGTTGCCCGTCGTAGGCGATGCGCGATTTTATGGAATTCACGAATTTTTAAAATCTCGATTAGTACGGGAACTCGTAGAAAGAGGGCTGAAGCTTTTGTTTTGTCCTGCTCCTCTTCTCCCTCTCGTTCACTTTGAAATTGAATTTTACTGAATATTTCACGGTTAGATGTGAAGGGTGGATGATCCAACGGATGAAATTAAATTATTTTATTCACGGGTGAGATTCAATGAAAGTGTATTGAGAGTTCATGAGCCGTTGGATTCGGAGAGCTTGGGGTTTATTCTAGGAAAGTGATGGGAGTGAAATTTGGCGCTAATAACCTGAATAGAACCAAAATGGGACATGGATTTTGTTTGTGTTTGCACACGTGTACGGTGAAGGTTGGGTATCACTGGAGCTTGAGGTTCAGATGAACGGATGATATTTGATACTTTTTGCTATCTAAGAATAGTATTTAGTTGAAAGAAATTGTTTTTGGCATGACAAGTTGAAGTTGAACAAGGATTTTTTGGATATTGCCACGAGGCCCACGTTGCAACAAAAGAAGGTTTTTAAATTAGGTCATTTTGAATGGATTTTGCATGGGCCCCATGAAAGTTAGACCGAGCAGATTGACCCTCCTTTAGATATTTAAATATTTAAATGTGTTTTGATAATTTCCTATTTTGTTTAAAAATATTTAATTTTACTGCCACTTATATATGAAAAAAATAGCATATTTAAATTATGTAAAATTATCCCTATTCTAGATATATCTTTATCCCAAAAATTAATTATTTTCAAATATATATTTATTTTACAAACGTAGAACTACTCATAAAATAAAGGGGTCTCATATAGATTTGAAATTTATGAGAAATAATCTTAATTTTGTTAATGACCTTAAAGGAAAGTTAACTAAAAGGTTTCATCTCCTAGTTAATTAATTCATAATTACTATGTGTTAACTTATTATTATCTGATTTAATATATGTAAAACTTTAATAAGTTGATTAATAACTATCCGATCCAGTAAGTAAAGAGATTGCTTAAACTAAAAGGAATTTTTATCTTATAATTTCTATGCTTGATATTTCCTAATAATTTATTTATAGACATCTTTCAAATTAATATTTGAATTAATTCGACTAAATGATTTGTGGATCGTGAATTTAATTTGGTTGGTTGGATAGTTATAACATTTCAAACAAACCCAAATTTTTTTTATTCTTATCACATGATGGATATACCATAATTTTGTAAATTTTAGTTATTAATATTGAAATAATAGCATCTAAAAAATGTGAACAACATGAGGAGTAGTTCTTACCTGATTAAAATACCCAAATTAGGTCATTCTAAATTATCACAAAACTAATAACATGTAACGTGCTATTTTTATATATAAATTCAAAGTAATAGTATTACAAATACAAAATCTGAGTATATAAAGTGATGTGACATTATCGTTTTTATTGATATGTCATTTATCTTCTCACTTTATATATAAGATTTTGTATACAAATTAATTTTGTAACGCTAAGTTATTGGTTCATCAATTCACCTTATAAAATAGGCTTTTAAAGGGTTTTTTTTTTTATTTTTGGAAAAAAGTTTTGCTTAAGATCATGAAATCAATGACTGTTATTGAAGTGAGATAATTTAGGCAACATCCAAAAATGCTTGAATTGGGCTTTCCTTAATTGGATTAAGGAAAAGACGAAAATGGATGGCTTTGTTTTGTCTATGTTAATTGATGNGTAATAGTATTACAAATACAAAATCTGAGTATATAAAGTGATGTGACATTATCGTTTTTATTGATATGTCATTTATCTTCTCACTTTTTATATAAGATTTTGTATACAAATTAATTTTGTAACGCTAAGTTATTGGTTCATCAATTCACCTTATAAAATAGGCTTTTAAAGGGTTTTTTTTTTTATTTTTGGAAAAAAGTTTTGCTTAAGATCATGAAATCAATGACTGTTATTGAAGTGAGATAATTTAGGCAACATCCAAAAATGCTTGAATTGGGCTTTCCTTAATTGGATTAAGGAAAAGACGAAAATGGATGGCTTTGTTTTGTCTATGTTAATTGATGTTTGAAAATGAAATAACACTAACCCTTTATATATAAAGTAAGACCTTTTTATACTTTATAATCATAATGGTTGGATCAAACTAATTATAACTTAATAGATGTGTAGTTACAAAAATTACTGATTTGATTTCTTATTTATAATTCACGTTTTAGTATTATGTATTAGGATTTCAATTCATTATTTTAGTAGTTATTGTTGTAATTAGATAAGAAGAAAAATGAAATATCCTGAAGATAATAGTATGGAATACAAAAAGTTTCGTGCCAAGAAGCTTTAAACATACTTGAGAAGCTTGAAATATTTTGGTTTAAACAATAAGGTGCTCATGTAAGCGAGTTATTATATACCCACAAGTTAAAAGACGTAGTAATAACTGTAAAGCTTGAATCATTATCTCAAACAACTTTATATAAATATTTTATTTCATTTTAAACCTTTAATGTAACATATTAGATATTTTTTTTTATAATATACAAATAATTATTACTATGTGGAGGCAACTTTCTTAAGACATGAATTAAAAAAATTATAACTTATCATAATACAAAGTTTATTCTTATTTATAACTATCATAAGTTGAAATATAATTTTTTATGACGATATCATTGTAAAAATGTTTTACTGTATATAAGAGAGAGAAGTGCACGTGACCAATAAAAGAAAACTATTAAATAATAAACAAAATAAAAAAGCCTTAGAAATTACATAAATCAGTTATGCAGAGTATAAACATTTAATTTTGTGATATTAAAATTTATGAGTTGAACATATTTTATTAACACCTTTTTAAGAGTGGCCTGCCGGCTTAGAATAAGTGATACCCTCTTTGGTTCTATCTATGATGGTCTTATTACATGTACAAAATTATTATCATCAACCACATCGGTAACACTAAGTTGTTCAAATTAATTAGCACAAAAGCTCTCTATTTTTGCCTCTTTAATTGCTTTTAATATGATGGTAACGCATATAGTAAATCAGAGTCGTCTTGGAATTGCGTGAACACATTCAGCACGTAAAAAAGTAGGCTTTTGAAAAACGAATGCATGTACGTGTCAGTCGTCACATTCTTTATTTATTCAAACTCAAACATCATCACTATATACTTGATTAAGTCTATTTTATGACACTACACGAATGTGATTTATGAATCAATTAATATTTAAACGACATGTTTTCCGATTTTCATATTTGTCGATGACGTGGTCAATTTGCAAATTGCCACAAGATTTACATTTACATTTACATTTACACAAGGCAGGTCGTTTGGACGACGTGTCATTTCTTATATCCTTCCAAGTAGTTTCATTGTGGAAAATGGAAGAATCTTCGCCGACAAAAATACATCTCACCGTTAAAATCAAGAATGATCAAATACAATTGATGGTAATTAGGTGGAAAGCTGATGAACTTCTTGTTACGCCATCTCGTCTGTAATTAATCGTTGAAGAATAATCAAGCATTTCTCGCGCAGAGACGAATTCATACAGTGGTATCTGATGAGACATCTCTCCCGTATATGGGAAGAGCAAAGTAATCATATATATATATATATATCAGAATCTAGAGTGGTATTTGCTGAGATCTCTCTCTCGTTTGAGGTTACTTGTGTATAATCTGATTATAAAGGAATTAAGTTATAGTTTGGTTTTAACAGAAAATTTAAAAAAAAAAAAAAAAGAGAGAGAGAGAGAGAGAGAAAAGAAAGATATATAGTTGTATCATCATAAGCTGGGACTGGGAATCGTTTTATATTTGTTGGATGTAGATAATTAATGTTAATTAACTCCAGCTGCTTCACGCAAATCTGGATATATGATTTAAGAGAGCTCTATATATACAAAAAATGGAGTTGCAGTAACATCACTCTGGATCTGAAGCCAGATACTGCAGCATATATATATATAGGCCTTTCATATACTGCAACACTACTGTGCTAGCTAGTTTCATATATATATATATATATATATATACACACATCATATGTGCATTACAACTCATGCAACTTTTCTTGGAGTTAGTTTCCAGATGTTGTGTTTTGTCCAAATTTATTACCGTCTTTGTTGTTCTTCCATTATGACTTTTTCTTCTAGTTTGGCTAAATGGCCATCTTTAGTTTCCCGTTACTTTCTAAGTTTTTTCTTCTGACAATTTCAAGTGTCTAATAATCTTTGACATCTGTCATTTAACTACTCTTAAGTTTTTTCCTGTTTGATTAACAGCTATATAAATATTAAAGCATTATATATAAAATAAATAAATAAATAAAACTGAGGGCTGAAAATATATATACATTAAACAGCAAGGCTCCTAGTATCTGCAAGTTTTTCTCTTCTCTTGTTGTATATTATAGTGTTTCTCTCTTCAAAAATATTTTAAGAAGTAAATCCCACCTAAAATAAATGACTGATATCTATAGTATGTATATAATTTCCATTTTTTTCCTCTCATTCATCTAGTATATATATATATATATATATATAGATTATAATACAGTACTAACATTATAAATACTATAACTGACTTAAGATTGCTGAGTTATAATCGAACAAATGAAACGTTTACAATATGATTAGGTCTCCAAGACTTTCAATCTAACAAAATTACGCCATCTCTCTGAAACTTGAAAAACACATACTAAACATGCACAAAGCAATGAAAAGTGGTGGTGGAGTGCTCAAGTAAACCAGCTACTTCGCTATCTTAAGAAAAGTGATCAATCTCCTAACAATTAATTGTTCATAAAGGATCTCTTTCCTAGTCGGCACATGTCATCTTCAACCCAACTAATCACGATTTAGACATCAATTAATTAGCAGAAATAATCATAGATTTTGCGTTCAGCAGTCTAGTTTTCGCAGACAAACGAGAAGGAAAATTTTCCCCTTGGGGACTGCGTCCATTTCATCATAATCATGCATGAATGCATGGGCGCAGGAAATGATCCAACGATCAGGGAAGCATTAGTAAATTTGAGTGATAATTTGGTTCAAGCAGCGAAATAGAAACACCGTACTGCAGATACAAATAGGATTCTAAAGAAAAAAGTGTATGGGTCTGGCTGTAAAACACATAGTTATTCGATGTATATGCTATATACAGTACTTACAGTATCGTAGAGCTAATTAAATAAGAAGAGGGATTCAACTATTCAAGTGGGCAAACCCAGAATTTATTGATCTCTGGGTTAGATTTATGAATCTCAAATCCATATACGTAACGCAGAAATTTTGAGCGCATAAAAACATCTTCTTGTCTGACTGGTAAAGATCTGAAAACAATCTGAAGCTTTTGATTCGTATCCATTTTTAATTGGTTTGATTTTCTCTCTCATGTTATTTTGTCCATAACCCATTACTCGAAATGGGTTTCAATTCTGAAATGTTCACGACTGATCCGCCGTCTGCATTTCTACATTATCTTCTGGAAATTGAAACAGGAAAGTACGCAAACGCAAAGTATAATCTCTTCATAGAATTGTACGAGATCGAACATCGATCTGTCTGATTTACCATTAAAACACTAAATGGGCAAGTTTGGGAATGGATTTAACAACGTATTTAGGTTAATTAACAAGCTAAAAGCTTGCTTGCATGTCAACCTAGCGTCCTTGCTGAACTTTTTTCTAAATCAGTGGTTGACAGACAAACTGTAATATTATTTTAGTTTATTGACTCCTAAACCGCCGCCCCCAGCAATAAAAAAAGAGGATAAAAGCCTCCAAATTTATTAAACTTAAATTTAGTGGCAACAGACATGAACAGTCGAGAAATTTAAGGAGTAGACAGGGACCTTAGGTCATGGAAGCACTTGTGTTTCTAAACATTATTCTGTTGGATCCGATTTGATTTATGGGTATGATGAAAGAAGATACCAAGAGGGGGCCCTATCCTTTAGAAGGTTGAAGTTGAGGTATCCTTTTCAGCCATTAGATTATTTAGACCTTATAATTTTTGTTTTTTTTTTTTTTTTAAAGATCTGTGTCATATTTCACCAAATTCAACACAGATCTCAGTGGGTTCACTGACCTGCCTCCCGTACTAGTGATTATATACAAGAGCTGCATTATACATAAGAAGATAGTTATCTTTTTTCCTCTTTTTTGGTCTAAAGAATCGGTGGCATATTTAGCCATTTCACTTTACCAACTCCTGCTCTCTTTCTCTCTCTCTCTCTCCAAAAAAGCTTGCTGCTCTATCGATGGTTGAATGAAAATGAAGGTCTCATCAACCCTTTGCAGAGGAGACAATTGTACCAAAAGAATCCCATTCATTTAAAGAGAATTCAATGTTTCGGGCTAGGTAGACTTGAATGTGGTCCTTGTAAAACAATGGAGATTCTGGTCATTTTGCTACAAGTGGAAAAGCAAGATAAAAAAAATAATAATAATAATAACAGAGAGAGATATCTGGATTCTGGCATATTAATTCCTGAGTTTTGCTTCGTGTATAGAAATGCAATTTTGGATTCATCAATTAATATATACATGTGAAAGTTATAATTATATCCATTTATGTTTACATTTATATGACACTATTTTAGGGATTTGTGCAAGCAATGTCCCTTGGATTTTATTCTTCTTATATATATATATATATATATTTTTTTTTTTTATCAACCCATAAAATATATATCTATAAAAACTTCACTGCTACGCAACAACAAAGTGGACCAATCTGTATGTACTACATCTACATCTTTAATTGGTAATGTTCATTGTTCTCTTTTTCAAAAGAAATTAAGCAATATTATGCTCTCACAAACCCAACATAGACAGTTGATAATTGTCTTTTGATGAATTTTCCCGTCCTGATGAGTTCATCAAATTCCAATTATTAATTACCACGTTGAGTTTATGAAAGAAAGTTTGTGAGATTCGTTTGTCAACATATCTTTATTAAAAGAAATTTATACGAAAGCTTATATAATCCGTAATATGCATATATTTTTGGTCACTTTCTTTATGCTTTAGAAATGTGAAGAGTTTAAAGGTTTAATGTCTGAATGATAACAGCTAGTGAATTAATGGTGGGTGACATAATTGTGTTAGCTAGAATATTGGAGCTAATTAAAAAGAGAAAATGAGATGAATTTTGGTATGATTGGCTGCAATTTCATGTTGAATCTATCTAGAACACTTTGTGATCCAACACTTGAGTTGAATTACTATTTGACTAGGCCAGGGCCGGGGGGAGGGGGGGGCGCGCTAGGGTTAGATATTTATTTATGAAAAAAAATTTAGCTAGGGTTACATTCCTTTCCTCTCATTACCTGCCAGAATTTTTACTTAGGGTTTTATGCTGAACTAAATCCACTCTCTAAAATGGTGCGTTCATTACACCGTCCAATCACAATCCCTTTATGTGCTAAAGGCATATTTGATCCCAGATGACATGACAAGGACTATTAATTTATCCTTCCCAACAGAGCGTGCAAACGACGCGTGGTGAATAGTACTTCCAACTATTCCTTTAGGGTTTCCTTTCTAAATGGATTGTGATAAGAACCGCACCTTCCTGCCACGTGGGAGTATTCCATTGGTTCTTTACTCTTTCTCTCTCTAACTTTAGCAGATGTATGTATGGTATGATGACATTGGCATGTCATGGTGAATTGATGATTTTAATACAACAAAACCTTCTTTCAAGGACAAAAGATAATAAACTCTCTCTTTCTTCACTCTATCTCTCTCTAAAAGAATCGCAAACCTCTCCTTCAAGCTCTAGGGTTTCTTCGAAATTCGCACTCTAATTCTACTCAGCCAGCTTCGAATCTATTGTCACTTCTTACCTCTTTGTCCTCTCCGCCAAATGCTCTATCTGTTGATGTCATTTTCTCCCCTTGCCGTCAGGAATCGGAGCCCAGTCGATGTGAGATTGTTTTGACTCTTTGTTAACTGTACTCCGGTAAGTTTCTTACTCTAATTAATCCTCTGTGTCGTCTTTAAGATGTTTCTGATTGTTTTAGTGTTAGATTAGAATCAGTTTTATCTGAGTTTGAGCTCGTTTGTTCGAGATATTTTGGTCTTTTTACTGTTTTTTTGTACGTCAAGTTCAGCTATTTCTTTGTATTCTCTTATCTGGGTTTTGTTTTGTTGATGAGTCTATTAACTTTTGTTATATTTTATGTATTATTTTGATTGTTTTGTCTTGTTACAACTGGTGTTAGCTGTTCACTGGTGGTGAATTCGAAATAAAACAAACCCTAACTATTTCATTTCCGGATCGATGTGCGTGATTCTACCAAGCAACTTGAAGTTTTTCGGGTAAGTCGAAGTGGGTTTGTGTCATTTAGCATTTATATTGAGAGGATTAACACAACTTTTCTTATTGTAGAAAAAGTCTATTATTTTGTGTTACAAAACCCTAATTTGTGCTTCATCTTGCTTTTGTTATTTTATGATTTGCTTTGATCTTAAATGGGTGGGTTTAGTTATATGGTTCATAGTTATGTGATTAAAGCTTGAAAGCTGCGACTCCAAACATCTTTCTATTTAATTTTATGGAAAACTAGGGTTTTAGATTTTGTTCCCTTTTAGGACGATGTGCTCGTTTCTGCTAAAGTTCGTTATTTTATGTGTCAAATCACTATTCATTGGTGTACTTCAGCTTCTTTCTCTTTCTATCTCAATTTTGAAAATGAAGTTCTTGTCTCCGCTTATGCTTACTAGGAAGTTGTAGGTGAACACAATTATTGTTGTTTGAAACTTTGCCTTAATTTAGACCTTGTAATGTACTTCACACCCTAAGTTATTTTCTTTCCATGTATATATATGTATTCAATCTAATGGTATCTTATTTAGCCTATGGTGTTGATGCCACCAGAGATAATATTTGGATTTGTGTTCTAGGAAATTGTATATTGTCCGTTGTGCCATTGGTTGCTAATAACATGGAGAGAAGTATTATGGTGGAGGAGAATCATCACACTAGTGATTCTGATCTTGTCTCGAAGTCTGTGGGATCATCCATTAAGATTGACTCAATCTCTATAGATCTTGTTAGTAACAATGAGAATGATGCAAGAAAGTGTGAACATTTTTCTATACGGTAAGCCTTGATCCTAATATCTACTAATCTTTTAGAATTTGTTTGAGCTTCCATATCTACTTCTGGCACCAGTTTTACTGCATCTGTGCTGTTTGAGTGCATGCTTCTTTGAGTTTGTTTGTGTGTACATGGTTGCACATGTGCATTCTGGTGTGTGGATGTGTATTTGTTGGGATTTCTACCTTGTAATGACAACTGAGCGTTGCTGGTGTGTACGAGATATAGAATTTTTTTACTTAGTTAAATACAACATTGAGAGCTGGGTTTAAACTAATGTTTGTATGTAATGAGTATTATCATTAAGAAAACAAATGATCGACAAACTGGTAATCTATTAAAGATAATATTGAGGAGATACACTGTTACATTGATAGTTACTTTGCCAATAACTAGTTTTGTGCTCTATAAAGTGTGTTGATATTGCATTCACACTGTTTTCTTTACATGTTTTGATGTTGGTACAGCGGATATGTGTCTGAAATTCGCAAAAAAAACTGGAAAAATTGTTGGCCATTTGCTTTAGATGATAATCATCATAAATTTGAGGAGCAAGCATGTACACTTCCTCCCTTACCTGTCTCGAAATTCAGATGGTGGCGTTGCCAGAACTGTTTACAGGAAATTGGTGCTGAAAGCATAAAATATAATAATGGAAATGCCTTTAATTATTGTAGTAGTGCAAGATTTAAATCTGGTGGCACTTGTTCCCATACGTCCTCCCTTGCTCCGGTGCAGCAATTGGATTTTCATCAAGGTCCAAAATTAAACATTCTTGATAGAACAATAGTTGATGCTAGTACTGCCACTAATCTGAACGATGATGACTTCCATCCTTCTTCATGTACTGATAAGAAAGAGAAGAAATCTGAATCTGCAGACAACCCCATCATAGGTAATACTCCAATCCGATTTTCATTTTATTCTGTTATGTGTTTACTATATTACAATAATTGGTACATTTCTTGTGTTTCTCCAGAGCATGAGATTGTTTCAGAAGATAACACAAGTCTGGATATCCCTGAATCAGCTGGTGCTGCAACAGGAGGTATTTCTGGAATGATGACAGCTGGAAGTAATCATGCCGACGACACAGGTCAATTAATTTTTAATAATTAACCTGCTACGCTATATAACAGTTTATCTGATTTGAAAGTAAAGTTAGAATCATATTTGACGCAATGTTAATCTTTCTGATTTAAACAGCAGAAGCACTTAAGGCAAATTGCAATGGATCTGTTGAATTAGGCCAGCTCAGCCATGGAAGTTATGAAAATACTGAGGTTGAACAACTTTCTGATCAAAATCTCAAAACCGTAGCTAAGAATTCTTCAGGACTTTGTCAAACAGGAATACAGCCTTCAGCTGAAGTTGAACACTTAAATGTAGTTGTAAGTTGTGGGACATCCGAAGTAAATGGAATGGTTAATGATGTGATTGATGCTGTCAAGAGTACAAACAAACATCCTTGCCTGGGATTCGATGATTATGATAATGCATCATCTGAAAGTGCTGAGACACTGCCTGGAAATGATCCTGAGGATCATCATGATAACTCAAGTGGTTCACATCGTAGAAAAACTCGGAAGGTGCGTCTACTGACCGAATTGTTGGCTGAAAATGGAGATGCAAGCACGAATCTACCAAGGGATGAAAAATTTTCATCCAATTCTGCTCCTGACGCATCTGCTGAGGTAGCTGCACCCTCTACACCCCAATGTCCCGTGGCTGTCCAAGGAAATGTTCTTCGGGTTTTTGATCAAAATAGGAAAAGGAAGTTCCTTCGAGATGAAGAGTGGAGACCTGTAGAGGTAAGCTCCCAGAATAATTTCAATAAAAGAGATAGAACCTGCAATGAAGGTGCGGAAACTGTTAGTCGACTTGCAAGTGCGGATTCAGAAGAAGATGCTGGAACTGGCTTACAAATTGGTGAAAAGAGCCAATTGAATAAATTCAGGCTTGTTAGAAGTCCGACTATGAGTAAGAAGAAAAACAAAAAAGGCCAGTTTGTTGATGAATTTTTGTCCCTGGCAGTACCATGCCAAGAACATGTGCAGAAAGAATATCAGAATGAAGCTGGAGATGTTAGTGTTGCGAATACTGTCTTTTCTGGATCTAGGCACACTACATTTACAAGCAGGGGGATGCATCCTTTTCCATTGCCTCAGAAAACAGAGAGAAATTCCAGTTTATGCAAGAAGAAAAGCAAGATGCCACTTGTTGATGATGGGCAGGCCTCTCTAATTCCTTGGAGTAATGGTCTTCTCAGAGGAAGTCCATTAACAAGGAAAGATATAGAAATCACGCAAATGCCATCCTTGACTGCTCCATTTCAATCAGCACAAGATGTATCCAACGAAAAGGGGCCACATCTTTCTCTAAATAGCTGCTTGTCCACCGAAGGATATGACAGAAGATATATTTCTCCACTCGAAGACTGCCTGTTTCTTTGGCAAGGGGGTATATCAAAAGAAAACCAGGTCACCGGGAAAGACAGCCAGACAAACTATACTGGAGATTCTTATTTTCCGTCTAAATCAGAGCCAGATGCATATCAGAGGAAAGTGAATTGTGATCTCAGTAGTAATACCCTTAGAACATCTTTCCTGAATGATAAGCAAAAGTCCATATCTCAAGCTGAAACAGGAAGCTGTTCTCTCATGCAGCAAATGGTATGACCTTTTCATGTCTTTATCTACTTCTTTATAATTGTTATATTCTTGCCTATATGTATGTGTGGAAGGAATGACAATTTTCGTTTGTTTCCCTTATGTTCTTTCTTAGCTTTCATATTGTCTGATGTTCAGTTATATATGTCAGTCAATTCTCAACAGTGATAGATATTGGTGGACTTTGTCTTTTAAACCATTTTAGGCTTTAGAATCTGGCACAACTCATGGTGCTGCAACCCCTCATAAAGAGTACCTCTGGTTTTGATGAATTATAGACCAATAAATCTGACTTGAGCTAGCCTATATTTAAATCTGTATTTCAGTATTAGAATGCTTGATTTTCATCTCATTTTGTTCTAACATACTGGGGTTGGTAAATGATGTTGCAATGCAAAGGAGAACTCTTTTTCGCTTTTTTGTTTAATGACAAGATGTTAAAATTTGTCTTTCTCTATGAGCTGTCACCTTCCACAGTTATCCTTTATCTGTCTTTGTGGAGTTGATATGTTGAAGTGCTAGATAGTTTTGTGACAATAATGCCAACTTTTTGCAGGATTTTTGTGGTAGAAACAACAATATGAAATCTACAGAAACACTGGAGCATTCAGCGCTTCCTAAGAAACATTGTGCTCAACGGGCTGATAAGGTATCTGAACAGGGAATTATCGATGACATACCCATGGAAATTGTTGAACTCATGGCAAAGAATCAGTATGAAAGGTGTCTTCCTGATGTTGAAAACGATAATCGTCAATCAGAAACAACCATTAACACCAGTAATGCTGAGATATACGCAAAGGGGAAGTTTAACTTTCTGTTGGAGGAGACTGCTCAGAAGCCAAAACCTCGAGCTAAAAGTAGTAAAAATGGCAAGATCACAAGAGTTGGAAGTGTTGGAAGTACCAAAAAGAAGTCAGTTGATTGCTTTTCTCATGTCAATAGAGAACACATCAATATACACCAGTTGGAACCAACTAGTGCCCCTACAGAGTTTAGGGCATTTCCTCACTGTCAAGAGAGGCTACCAAGTGGAGTCAAATTTTCTGATACCAGTTTCAGTAAGCATGGCAGCTCTCAAAATTGCCAGTGGATTGGGAATATATTGGGGCACAGGTCCTCTCAAACTAATTTGCAGACTTTAGGAGCTTGTAACACATGCCAGAGTGTTCCACGACAGAATAAAGAAGCAGCTCATCTTTGGTCATCTATGATGCCAAATCACATGCCCTTTTTATATAATTTTGCTCAAAAACATGCAGATCCATCAAGCAACATAGATGCATTTCCACATTATCCCAACAGTCTGCGCAAGGGGAACTTAAATGGAAATCACGGTATAAATTTTCTGAATTTAAACGCTACAAGCACTGAAAAGCAGAATAGGAACTCTGATTCTGAAAATGTCAGCAGGCCACAAGCTGAGTATCCACTTGCTTGTAAACATAGCAGGATGGGATCACTAGATCTGTATTCTAATGAAACCATACCTGCAATGCATTTACTGAGTCTCATGGATGCAGGATTGCGGTCAGGTGCACCAATTGATATTGATGGGACACCAAAGTTCCACAAAAAACCCTCCTTTTTGCATGATCATCATTCTAAGGACGTCTCTGGGATGTCATCTGGGGGATACAAGACCAGCAGTACCATGAAACCCCCATTATATGATTATTATGGCAAAAATCACCTTCCAGAGAATTCTCATGAATATATTACTGGCATGTCAACCGTTGGTGCTTCTGGGTTTTCATTTCATCATGATAAAGGTGTCAAGAAGACCACTGGTTTTACAGGTCAGGCATCACTTCGGTCCCAAGAGAAGGAGAAGACTAAAGGCTCTGATTCACCTTCAAAAAATAAAAGCCATAGATCTCAAAAATCTGTGCTTACAACTGGTGGTTCAAGCACAAATCATGGGTCCATTCCTTTTAATATGCAGAAAATGTTCCTTGGCACTTCAGATTCTATGGCCTTCCCCTTGCAGTGCCATGTAGTGGAAAATGCATCAAAACGTAAGTTGGAAGCCTGCAATACTACTAGTGGTATATTGCCTCTGAAAAGCAGTTCCAAGACTGAAAAATGCAGTGTTAACAGAAACCCTGCTGATTTTAGCACGCCAGAAGCAAGAAATATTTACATGATTAGAGGTGAAGACCTTAAATTTAGAAAGCCAGTCTTTTCTGATAATAGATCTGGCTTAATCAAATTGGATCGGCGCAAGCGACAAAGGAAGCTTACTGCTGCAAAAGGTTGAAATTCACCTCTTCATCAAACTGATGAGTGCAGGGCTCATCTTTCTAAAATTTGGCACAGAGCTCTTTTCTTCTTCTTTGTTTTATACTCATCCAGAATTTGATTTGCTTACTCTGAGCAGGTAAAGTCTGAAGTATTGTGCTAGCTACCTCAATACGTAAATGACTTAGAAGCATTACAAATGTCAGATAGCAAATGTTGTAATCCTGTGCTGCACAGAAGCTGATATTTATAAAACCAATAATCCATTTGTATCAACTTTTGATCATGTTGGCATTTTAATGTCCAAAGCTGGCTGTGGAAGACTGGCTGCAGGGCGAGGCTTGTATATACTTACATATGCCTTAACCTTCCAGGAATACAATTAGATGTATGTACTTTTGAATTTGGTGTTGTATGTTGTACTGTAAAAGGTTTTGTAAAAGCCTATAGGGCTTGTTTGTTATTCTGTGATTATTTCTGTGCTCAATCCCTGGTGGAAATGGGAGTGAAGAGAAAAAAGAACAGGGGGTTTCTCAATAAGCTAATATAATATTTGGATGCATATGTTTGGAGTACTCTAGCTAGGGGGTTTGTAGTTGTTGATTAAACTTACATATTTTAGTTATAAGTGTCAAAACTTTAGGGGAAATCTGGTATCTGAAAGCCTGAAATAAGACTGCCAGATACCAGATTCTGAAAGCAGAAATATGTCTTATATTTAAGTTAATATTATTTTCTTCGATGACCTTGTTGAAGAAATTTCTTCTATTTACCACCTGTTATGAGAGATTACTGTTACTTAAGTGTTCCTATCCTCTGAGATTTGTTCTTAGACGTTTCTCTGCCTGATGAAAAGATTGAAGGAAATTTTGTGCTTAAATACTGAAGTGAAATTTCTGCCAAAACCTATGGTTTTGCAGATTTTTCTGATGTCGATGGATCTTGAATCTGTGTTTATAGATGAGAAAAGATTGCCCTTTATTTCATCAGTTTTCGAATAAATCTAAGTTTATTAATCGGAGATGTATTTTTACTTAGAAAGGAAGTGTAACACACACGCATATATTGAATGTACCATGAATACTTAAAAGAAAACTTTTGTATGTCAATTGATGTAGGGTAACTTTGTTTTTACCCCTATCAATTAAGCAATTATTGAGTTAGTTTATATTCATTCACTTCATGCTAGTCAATTAGTAAAGAGGGTTTGTATATTATCTATTATTATTAAATTTAGAAAATAATATAATTATTAAATGATCATAATAATGTATGCACACAACGAGGTGCCCGCAAGTTGTCCTGGACACCCTCGGATACCAAAAAAAAAAAAAAAGAGATGTACATTTAATTTGTTTTTAATTAGACCAAATATATGAGCTACCAAATGTTAAAAAAAAAAAAAAAAAAAAAAAAAATGTGGGAGGATGAGGATTGGGTTGTATAAATAGAAAAGCAATGGGTTTAGGTTGGTTAATGGAGTTTATCCGGAGAATATTGTGTGGATTTGGTATGTATGCGTAATGCTTTCCTGAAAAATGAGTTGGAAAGTGAAAGTTGATACTTTCTTTCCATTGTATTTTCCAACCTTCTGCACTTATCATCCATAGATAATGGCAATGGGTGCATGCTTTTATATCTACCTACCTTTTAGCTTTATATTAATTCACAGGAACCATAACAACACTGGATTTCATTATATATCCCATTAAGATTTCACTTTCTTTAGGTTATTATCCACTTTCTCTAATTGTAACATTAATAATTGATTACCGCTGTTAATTAAATAAAAGATTTTCTTCTTTTTTTTTTAAAAAAAAAAAAAAGAGATTAAGATCATACATATGTACATTTAGGGTAAAGGATTAAATATATATATATATATAGATGTTGATGTAGCAGAATCTGATGAATGAAAGGCTGAACACCATCCTTAATTAGTTAGCAGTTTAATTGGTAGAAAATATTTTCCATATTTAAAACAACCCAGTTACAAAAATGAGGTCATTTGATCAGGTTTACTTTTAATAAGAACCTGGTGAAATACAGACTTTTAAAATGAGTAATGCATATAAGTTAACAGTTGTTGATAAATACGCCATCTAATAGTATAGTTTAATCTTAATTGATGGGTTTGAATTGAAGTAAACTAATATTAGTTATTTTAATTGTAGAGAAGTATATATAAATTTAGTAATATGCATGGAATGGAATAATTGGTGAGTGGGCTGTAGGACGTGGCTACCTCTCTTCATGGTTATATTTATGGATAAAATTAACTAAGAGCCCCACAACCACATGGTCATCTTCGCCATCCATAAAAGCATCAGCTAATTATAGGTTATTATAACGTCATCTTGCGAATCATTTCTGACTTTATTAATTCATGAAAAACCTAAAAGTCCAGCTGAACAACCAGCCGGCCGGCGGGGGAATTTCTAGAAAGATGGATCGATCATGTTAAAGGTCTGGCAATGGTTGAATCACATACAAGTCAAGTTCACCTTTCTGGACTGGATGTCAACCCAAACCCCCATCAATCTTTTCGTTTCTCCTTTAACTGAGAATTATGTTTGATTATATATATATATACTGTATAAGCTAATGCTTTGCTGATTCATTCGCTAGCACATATATTACAGGATTATAATCTGGAGGAAATTATTATATACGGGTGTCACTAATTTCTGGAAATCTCATTCTGTTTGTCTTTGTATTTGCCATTAATTTTTACAAAAGTAGCAGTCCAACACATGTATATATATTCTGCGACACCAATCAATGCACATACTGTTTCTTCTCCCTTATAGGAACTGGCAGATCCATCCAGTTTCTGGTTTTTCTTCTCAACAACTGGCAGCTAATAAAAGATTTGCATAAGCAAAAGGTATTTAAAACATGTCTTGGTCTTTTTTGTGAAACTGTTTCCTCGTTTAAATAATAAATATGCAGATATCGATGGATCAATTATTCAATTAATAGTAAACTACAGGGTCCACTTATATCTGGCTTACCTAACTTCCTTGGTTTGATCAGCCAAGGAAAGGGTTTTGTTCTTTTTTTTTTTTAATTTTTTTTATGGATATTTAGGATGAAGAATATTATTTAGAATAATTCAAATCATCTTATTAAAGGAAGTGATAGTATTCTTTGATTATTTATCCATTTCCTCCCTTTGGTCCACCTCCTTATTAACCGTTGATGCAAAGATTTACAGCAACCAGAGTTACGTGATTGACAATGTTAGAACCACGTACGTAGGATGTATGTGTAATCATGATAGATCAGCGATGGAGTAATATGATGAATAATATGCAGTAATTAACGTAAAATATTAAAGAACAAAAGAAACTTTATAAAGTGATTCGAATGCTTATAATACAAAACCTACGTCTAATATTATGTTATTGAACATGTGAAGTAAGCGATCTACCTTTACAAAAGGTTTCTAATGAGTTCTCTATGACCTATTTTTGCCATCCCCCAAAATAGATTATAATGAGGTTTATATAGTGTTAGTAACATGGCTGAGTTGGAGATATATTCAAATAAAATTAAACGAAAAGTTTCGTCATCTTCAGCCTGCTTGAATATGAGATCCATATCGTAAGATATTTGCATGCCAATTGAGGATTTATCCACTACACAACGTTAACTATAGTAAAACATCTCTATAGTCATAATGATCGGACTAACTAATTTTATTACTATGAGGAGGTTATAACTTAATAGAGGTGTAATTAAAAAAATTTCTTATTTCATAATTCATGTTTTAGTAGTACAATATTAGGATTTCAATTCATGTTTGAATAATATTAGGGTTTCAATTCAGCGCTTCAATTGCTTATTTTTTAAACGGATAGAAGATCGTGTTTTGAAACCAACAAAGATAACTGTCATTGATGGAATTATAAATGTAGTTTCTGTATGACAACTGATGTGAAGTAACAGACAATTGCCAATTGTTTTATGCGTTACAAAATTAGGAACCCCGATGTCAATGAATTGGAAGTTACAAATGAAGTGGATGAGGAGAACCAAAGAGTTATTGTAGAATTGAGTGATCAGATTCGACAACTTTACTACACTAATTGAATGAATATTAATGTTTTCTTTAATCATCCAAATAAGTAATAAGTCATGTATGCTTTAACAAAAGAAAAAATCATTTCTACAATTAAACAAGAAGAGAAATGAAATAATTATGAGGATGATAGTACGGAAATACAAAAAGTTTCATGTCAAAAAGCTCCAAACATGCTTGAAAAGCTAAAAATGTTTTGGCTTTAACAAGAAAATGTCTATGCTAGCGAGTAATGTACCCGCAAGTTAAAAGATGTAATAACAACTCTAAAACATAAATTATTGTCTCAAACAACTTCAAATAAATATTTTATTTAATCTTAAACCTTTAATGTAACATACCATATATTTTTTTACAATATAAAGATAATTATTACTATGTGGAGACAACTTTCTTTAAGATGGGAATTAGAAAAATTATAACTAATTACAACGTGGAGTTTATTCTTATTTATAACTATCCCAAATTGGGAAAAAAGAAATTTATGACTATGTAGAGTTTATTCCTATATAGAATATCAATATAAAAAAGTTTTACGGTAATAATAATACCTTTTTAATACAAAAATCATATGTTTCATAGGAGTTTTGGTATTATAAAAAAAAAAAACATATCATTTTTAAACAAGAAACCTCTTCATTTTTTATATATTTATCGTTAACTATGCATGAAATATTGGTCTAATTAGTTGGTTTACTAGGGTAATTAAATTAACATAATAAGTGGTGTTGGTGTTGTTGGGCCAGATTTCTCTCTATCTCTTTTTTTCACCACACAATTACCATTACACTCTCATCTTAATTATCATATAGTGAGAACTGATTGATCCAACTCCAAATTTGACATAAAGCAGAAGAATCACTGCACAATTTAATTGGTTCCTTTCAAATACCTAGAATCCATTAACATGGTGCCCTACAATTAATTATCATTGCAGGTGCCATCACAAATATTGGCATATATACTTTTATGAAAACAGATATTTATTTCTCATAGTGTTCTTGAAAGGAACACCTCAATTTACAATTGAAAATAATAGAAACCATGGTCTAATAAATAATTTATTTATTGTCGATTACCTGGTAATATTACACGACCAAAATGGAGGAAGATGACGAATATCTGCAAACTCTCGCTTCATTGTAAACGACACCAGGTTTGCACAAATACCCTTTGCTTGGGCTGCAATGTCTATCTTCTGAACAGATGCATTGTCCCTCTAGGCCACATCCATCGCTTTTACCGCCTTCTTTTCCAAATAATATCTCATCCGACCATTCACTGGAGAACACATTTTGCGGGTCCAGTTGTTTCTTCACTGCAAGGAACTTGTTGAAGTTTGGATACTTTTGATTCACTTTTGAGAAAGCTGAGTTCCTATTTTTAGCCCAGTGAGGTTTGGCTCCATACTTGAAAAACGCCATTTGTTCTATTTCTTCCCATACGTCTTGGTTCAGTCTTGGAGTTGAAGCATCATCAGCGCGATAATAGTTGAAATCGATTACTACTGAATCCTCAGCTTGACCCAGATATGCTTGTGAAGCTTTGATGAAACGTATTAGAATCCCATTATAGATATCGATTCCACATAAATTTTCTGGTTTAATTAGGTCTCTCAGTTTCTTCACATCGCGGATAAAATCTCCGAACTTTTTAGCGGGAAATATTGCTGTTGACTCGTAAAAGAATAGTCCGTTGATTCTGGGATCCCAAGCACAAGATGAATCAATTCTTGAAGGAGGTGAATATAAACAAGAACCAGATGTCTGCATTTTTCCCTGGCGACCAACTACTGGATAACCAGTAAATATTAGACCATTACTCTTTAATCCATTGGCGATTGATTTCTTAAACCCGACAAATGAAGATGCCATCGTACATTCTCCATTCACGTTTCTTGCAGTCTCGAATGCTTTCTCTGCAACTCATACAGTTTTCAGCTACTTAAAATATTCGTACACTGTAGAACATTAAATAGAAGATGAGTAATGGAGCATATATGTATACCTGTTGCTCTAGTTGCTTTGGAGACCAAAATAGAATTGGATTGAAAGCCAAGGAAGTCAAACACTCCATCACCAGGTGTATTCAAAGGAACTCGGTTGTCGTATCTGTACACAGCCTTATTTCTTGACGGATACCAGGTTATATCTGCAAATTCAAACTTCTTTGCATGGTCCATGAACAAATCTTCAATGTGAGCATCATCAGTGAAATTATAGGTTATGCTTCTTTTGAATCTTTTCTCCAGTGACAACTTTACCTATAATCATAATTTGATTCAGAAACATTCATTCAAATAAATCCACCGAGCAATACCAGAGAACGTTAGTTAAACTAAACATAATTTAATAAGTTTTAAGCGCGGTTTCGTTAATAATTAGGAGTTAGGACATGTTCGTGCTTGTACGCAAAGATGTCTCACTTGACATGCTTGTGCTTGTACGCAAAGATATCTCGCTTGAACAATCATTCTTGAAACCAAATTTTATTTTTTATATATATAAATATTATATTTTATTATTGATTAGGGTAGACTAAATAATTCCTTCAAACCATCAAAATGTCGGAAAAAGCATTCTTGTTTGTCGGTGGCGAAATAATGTTTGGTACAAAATCAGCATCAGAAACTGTAACTTTTCATAAAGGAGACAAAAAAACTGACCTTGGAGATGACTCCTAGCAATCCTAAAGAAACTTTTGCGGCATCAAGGAGCGGATCCTGAGCTTCAATTCTAATAACTTTGGCGTAGCCTTCAGATTGTTTAGCAGGAACGATAAGGCTGAGGCCGATAACATGATCATGAACAGCTCCTCCTTTTCCCCACCAAGAGCTACCATGTGCCCCAGTGCTAATTAACCCTCCAATACTCACACCTTCCCAATACGGTGCAGCCACCAAACTCAGATTCGCTTCTTCAACTCGATCAATCAACTGGCGTAGAGGCACCCCGGCATCTGCCGTCACAGCCAAATTGGCTACATCAATTTCAATGTTGGAGTTATATTTCTCCGTGCTTATAAGTAACGCGTTTCCTGATTGTGTTGCAGAAGGGCAGGCGAGTTTGGGTATAGTATGAGAGAACTTGCTTACTACTTTGATATTGAGGTTGTTTTGATTAGCATGTGCGACGGCTAAGCGAAGGTCTTGTTCAGTTGTTGGATATGTAACATCTGGGACATGACAGTCAATTCTGTCTCCCCATGCACCGTAAGAATTGGACAGGATGCAGCCAGTTTCATTGCATTGAACGGGAGGTGGCGGTGGCATGGCGTGGGTGGTTGAAACACATATGATGAGAACCCACCAAAAAGAATGCATCCATCTTGGCGTCATTGCTTTGTCTGGTAGCCGTAGCCGATCCAAAAGTTTTGAATATGTGGGACTGAAGATGAAGGGAATGCTTTGAAGGGAACGTACGACACAAAAGAAAGGAAGTTCCTTGAATTAGAGATTAAGTTAAATGCATATAGATAATAATACTATATTATAACATGTGTAGCACTACTATACTAATAATTAAATATTTTCATGCTAAAGGTCCTTATAGTTGGACTTATTAAGCGTCAGCATTCACATTATCCTAGAATATGAAAATTTACTACCTTCCTTTAATTAATACAAGAGTTTTTACGCTTTGACAAATTGATCTGTGCCTGATTAAGAGAATACCTGGATCATTATATAATTCATTTTAAAAGTAAACGGCTTTTTTCCACCCAAATAATGGTTTAATAACACTTTTCGACCTACAAATTCTAAAAATACAATTTTTTTTTTATCCAAATTTATGTTCTGTTTCTGATTCCAACATCATTACGACCCCACACCATTACTATTCTCTTTCCTGATCATTACTCACTAAAACCCCTCAAACCCTACTCTTATCGACCTCGTCAATCATCAGTAATTGAGAAATTAGGGTTTACGCAATTGCTCATCTTAAGTCAAATTCTGATAAATCTCAACCACCAAAATCCAACATTCCACCAGCAAAAGATTTACCGACCTCTCCTCTTCAAAAACTCTGACAGTTTTGATCGAGTTTACTCTCTATTCACCGTTAGTTATAAATTTAGATAATGAAACAGTATTTTAAAAATTTGTAGGTAAAAAAGTATCGTTAAGCCATTATTTGGGTGGGGAAAAGTCGTTAACTCTTTACTTTAATTTTCATTCATTTTCTTTCTATCCTTCGGCTGTGGTGGGACAGTCGCTGGGAGTTAGGACTGAAATTGAGAAGCATTCATGTATATTTAATGTTCAACCACTATCCATGAATGCTTCGTGGAGTTTAAATTAATTAATTATGTAAGAGAGAAGGTCAGGAATCTGATATACTTCACATATATTTTAATACTTTAGATTATTGTTTAAATATATGATATTAAATTTAATTTGTGTCTCCATGAGGTGACGGTGACCATGAGAGTGTTTTGTTATGGAATTAGATTGAAAGAGAGTCGGATTGAAAGCAAACATATTCCTATTGTCACGACCCGATTGCTTCCTTTCGGACTCGTGCAACCTTAACTGTTTGATGAAATGCTTCCTTCGAACTCGTGCAGCCTTAAATGTTTGATGAAATATTTGAGAGACGTCACACTATCCATACCACACTCACATAAATTTCAAATATTATTTTAATTTTCTACTGCATCTTCAAATTAATCTCTATATATACAGTACTTAGGTTTAGTGACAATCACTTGGTGTGTATATTTATTCAATATTAAATAATTAATAAATTTAGCATTGCAATAATATACCAGAAAGTACACAATAAAATGATAAATAATTATGTATACATGAAAATAGTATAACAAAATGCTATTTTTGACATTATTATTAGTTTGTTGCTTTTATTAACTTGTTAAATTTCTTTTATACGATAAAGTTTTATTTCAAAAAACCATCAATTAATTTTCATAATATATATACAGTACCATATTTCATATAATTATTTAATATTAAATTATTAGAATAATAATAAATAAAAAGTACAATAAACAGGCCCTGTACGTGAACTAATGATGGGCCTAGCACACAAATCAATCACAGCTGTTCATGTTCTTCCTCATTCGAATCCACCCGTCCATACTCATTAAGCGCTTTCAATAACTGTGCCCCTTTCCTCCTTCCTCTAGCAGTGCAATCCCCCTGCAAAGCCAATGCCACTGCACGCGCTACCTCCTCCGGCGGCGCTGCCAACACTAATTGATCTCCTCCCCCATAAATCACAGCCATCACACTTATCGCGTACTCCTTCCCCCTTCCCGCCATTTGCCCCATCATCGTCACCATCACCGGCACCGATAGCGCGTGGGCTCTCACCTCCGCCGCTCCCTCCGCCACCGTGCACATTAGCTCCAGTGCAGCCAAAGCTCTCTCCCCCGCCGCACCCTCCAGCTCCGCTATCACTTCTATCACCGTCCCAACCGCTCCCGCCTCCACTGCCACGTGGCGATTACTCTCCCCAAGACAAAGCGCTAATAAAACTTTAGTTGCCGGTTTTGCCCCTGCTTTATTTTTCAAATTGGCAACGACCCCGCGCATCAACTCGGGCTGGCAAGCCTGGTCGGAAGGCGGGTTCGGTACGAGGGAACGTTCTAGAAGATGAAGCGCGGCGAGTTGATCGGAATCAGACCCAGTAGTGAGTTGGAGCTCCGCTAGGTGAAAAAGTTCTTGGAGGCTAGTGTAGGGGATTGGGGGCGGTAATGGTTTAGGCGGGAGAGAGATGGGCTTGGGGTCGGGTTGTGATTGTGGGTGGATGGGTGAAGCGGGGAGAGGGAAAGGGAATTTCCATTGAGTGAAGCTTTGGGAGGTGGAGGAAGAGGAGGAGGAAGATTCAGGTTGATGGGTTGATAATGGTGGTGGTGGGGACGGCAGCGGAGGTGGTGGTGGAGGAGGTGTTTGTTGAGGAGTGAGAGGAAGAGGAGGGGATTGAGAGTTGGTGGGACTGAGTACAGATTGAGTGCAATGACGAAAGAAGGCACAAGAGAAGAGTGGACGTGGTTGGGTTTTGAGTTTAGGATGATGGTGGTGAGTTTTCATGTTGAAAAATGGAAGTGAAGAGAGTGAAGAGGGAGAAATGTTGAAGGGTTTTGGTATGAGCAGTAAAAATTGAACAATAATGGAAGTTTGGAAGAAGTGGAAGTGAGCTCGTGACACTGTCACTGAACGATGACAGGCTCAGGCTCAGGCTCAGGCTCAGGCTCAGGTTCAGGTTCAGGCCAGTGAGGATGGGGACTACTGGGAAGTTGGTCATCTAAAAGACACAAGTATCGCTGTATCAGTAGCAGTATGACATCACTTCCAAAACGTATCATTTTCAATGAATGAACACGATGTCCCACCATGCTTGTGAGCTCTGCTGTTTCTTCAACAAGACTACCCAGTAAAAAATGATAAATCTTACTTGCTTTCAGCAAGATTACAATGTACTTCACTTGAGGACAAACTCAACTGACATGCCGCAGTCCTAAATTATAAAGCTATGTGATTGTAATCGTCCTTATGACCAAGTAACGGCTTCAATTGTGGTCCGGTTGGGAAGATTCGTTCAAGACTCCATCATCTCCTTTGTTTAGGTTATTAGAGTTCAATAATTTCAGAAACTCTGCATGATTTTATTACAATTTTCTCGATTGGCTGTAGTTGAATTGAGAAAAAATAAATCTTGGTTCTGTCATAATTTGTAATATGATAATAAAAAATTCTGGAGTTTCTCGCATTATTCCGCGAATCAACTAAAACATCGGCAGCTAGAGAGAAAGGCAGTAAGGCACAGAAAGATGGAAGGATATAATCAAGATGTGAAATAAATTATAAATATTCCATTGTAAAACGGTGACAAAAATGCTTTTTGAAGAGGAGATGCTACAAGATTATGAAAACTTACAAGTCAGCAGTGAATAGATCCAATCAAAATGCAATTTATGCTAAAAAAACCTATTAGGGCACAGACATGCTAACCATAACGACTATCTCACCTCCACTTATCCTGCAGTTCTTTCCTCTCCGACAAAATCCATGTCACAAAGATAGCCGCGACAAGGGCAATGATTGTAATGAGCAGTAGAGCATAACTAAAATCCTCTGTGAGTGAATCATAGGTCCTGGAGGGTGCAAGCTGAGTAAAAAAGAGATCCATTCCGTATGCAAAGACAAGGGTTGTTGATTCCAGCTTAGCAGGCACTGTCACTATGTTTCGGAGACCTTCAACTTTAAGGGCATGTGTAACATACGACTGCAGGAACAATTTATGGATCAAAATTAGTGAATAATCAAATCTTTCAATAAATGAATTATCACGCAAATAAAAATGTAACAGGAAAAAACTTGACATGCCACAACCAAACTCCTCTACAGCAGCTCACTGCAAACACAGCAAGCTTAGATGGCTTTGATTAATATGCAATTTCAGGCTCACAAGCAAATTGCAATCCCCAATGTACCAATAGATGATGGGATAAATTCATACACATGTCATGAAGTTGTAAAATCACCAGGCTTTAGTTAAACTTAAACAACCCCAAACGTACCCTCTCCAAATGTATGAATAATGCAAGAAACTGACTCTAATTGTATATGCATCTTGAGCTCGGAGAATTGGTATACATATAATGACATCGCTATTAATGGGGAAATGTGGTAAACTGACAGTCTTGAGAAAATAAATCATAAACAACTGTCATATTCTCTTAAACAACTGTCTTTAAGAATATGATGATAGAGGAGAAAGAAAATATATGACAACTGACCTGAGGAATGATTGGCAAAAAATCTGTAAGGGGTATGATTCCTTCTTCTTTCTCTGCTTGTGAGGGGTTAACTGTTCGGCGAGGATCCACAAAACGCTTATCAAGTGCCAAAACCTGTAAAAATATGAAGTGGCATTTCAGACAGGCCCATTTTTGCAGGAAGAACCACAAAAATAAATCCATAACAAATAAATAATAAAATAACTTCGGGAATCTGGTTTTTCAAAATCTTAACCAACCTGATCACCAATTGTACCAATAAGAAGCTGCTTTGAAGTTATACCCTTTGCCGTTAACGTCACTGCTATCGCTTTCACAGAATGGGTGAAAAAGTAGGACTGAGACTTTGTTACAACCTCAGGTCGTGAATAAGAAGAAACAGGTGCAGTAAGATTATGCTTTCCTACAACAAGCTTCCAAACATCTTTGTTTTCCTGTAGATATTCAACTCGCTTAAGTATCATATGCAGCAAAGGTACACAAAATTACAAGATTCAAGTTCATAGGCTTACCGCCCTAGACTGGTCATAAATCTCAATGACCGACATCTCAAATCTGTGTGCTCTAAGATTGAAGTAGTGGTACACAACCCAGTTTTCACTAAAAACCTACAAAAAAGTACAAAAACATAAACCAATATATTTGATGATATTTGATACGTGACAAGACATGCGAAAAAAAATGGGTAACTCACAGCATGAACAGGACCCTGTGCACCATGATGAGTCATGCGGTGCAAAATACGGCCAGTTACAGTATCAATAAGATATGCAAACAACGATGCCTCCTCTGGGTCAGCAGATCCAATTCCAACACTGGCCTTTGGAGAAACAGTAGCCACAAAGAGCAAATTTTTCGATATATATTTATACATCACATCTTGATCTGATGTAACCTTTGCTTGAGTATGAACCACCTGGTAAACCCACATCAAAAACAGAACATTACAACTCATACATAATACTGAAGCATTAATAAATCTTGCAAAAAGCTAGAATAGATCATTGCCAATTCAAAAGAGGAGGGAAGACTGCAGAGAGGAACATATTCTCCTAAATGAGATATTTATTTACCGTATGGCATTGACAGCATAATAAAGTCATCTATCACCAGACTTAGAACTAAATATAAAATTTAAGCATGATAAAAAACCAGCAACAGATGATTAGACTTTCTAAACAGTGAAGGGGGAATCAGAACCATGAATAGGCAAGATCAAAGGTAAAATTTTATAACTGTTACTAGTCAAATTTCATCATGCTATCTAAACAACTTTGCCGCCTTCCCCTCTTTAGCACCAATTAACTTAAAATGTTGATGTTACAAAAAAGTGAAAATAATAATAATAATAAGCACAATAATAAGATTAACAACATTTTTCTGAAAACCATGAAATGTATATTAAGGCATCTACGGGAAATTTCCAATAGCATATCCCAAAATAAATAAATAAATAAATAATTAAAAAAAAAACTTCAAGGATGCTATGTGGAAAAGAAATACCTCATTAGATTTTCTTGATACAGTTGCAATGATCTTTTCTGACTCCAAAGGAAATACAATTGACCATAAATCCCCAGACTCAAAGCAGAAATCATCAGCAACCTCACCAATGCAAGTTCTCTTTATCACATGACCTTTGATAATGCTATTATCAGCCTCAACAGAATACCAGTATATGTTTGAGAACTCTTGTTGAAAAATAGTTCTAGCTTCAGGAGTTCTGGGATATAAATGCACTCGCCTGTCTGCATCAACTAGTAGATGAAGACGCTGTTCAGTTGAATCTGTAAGTGGCAGTGGTATAATTTGCACTACAGAATGACCAAGATCCAAAGAATTAAGCTCCTTTCCAGTGTAAGTATCAACAAATGATAGTACAGCTGGTGCATTTGAACTATATCCGCACTTGCCAACAACAAGAACAGATGGGTTCTGATCCATCGCATGATGATGGGGGACCTGCCACTGATACAAATTTAGCCCAGTTGGACAATCACATACTTTTGATTTCCTCAAAGAAGGCAGTAAAAGAGACCAGACAACCCGTCCATCTCCACTGTGTAAAGCAAAAATTTTTCCTGCTTTAGTAAGTACTATAAGCAGCTTCCGAAAACCATTGTGGTCTCTGGTCAACTTGCTCTTCTCAGAACTTTTTAACCTAATTGCTTGTATGGCTACCACATCCTCAGGACTTGCAAGCATTAAGGTCCCTTTAAGCTTCAGAATGTGTCCCTTCTCAGTAGCAACAACATGTTAAAATCTCATTAACAGAGGGGAATAAATCAAATGTATACATCATTGATTTCAAGGAATAAGTGGAGCAGTAAAGATATAAGGTGGGGAGATAAATAACACAGCAATGTCACTCTTAGATCCAACAAAATTTATTCATTTTAAAGAGGACATATATAACATTAAACATGGCAATACTACAAAATGGAGAGGAAATATAACAATAATTCATTCATCATTTTCCTTTGCACATTAGAAAAGGACAATAGAGCATCTTAATCCATGACTTCATAGCAGTAACAAGACAACATCAACCAACAAGACAACAAGCTTTTATTTGAATCCAAATACAAGAAAATGTCACTAATAGGTAAAGAAAAGCTTGTTCATCTGCAAAATGCAAGCACAACAATAGCATTTTCATACCCTAAAAGGAAAATTCATATATATTTCTGCCTCCATTCAAGATTAAGTAGAAAGATATGGTATTTCAATGTGAATTTATAACAATTAACACATGACAATACAATCATAACTTTGTTTGAAAGCATTTCAAAAAGAACTCATACCTTGAGCCAATCAATGAGGTTGTGCTCCCCTTTTGCCACTGACACAGCTTTATCCACAGGGAGTTCTGATGTTGTGACATCTATTATTGAGGCAAGAGCATCTTCCCTATTCCAAACAATCTTACCCTGTTGCAGTAACAAAAGTGAATGATCTTCCATGACAATCAAGGCCCTAAATCCGTGAGACCTATCTGTCCTGATATAATTGTTTATGAAGACCTTATGGACAAGCCCCCTTTCCTGGTCCATTTCAATGCTTTCTTTAACCAAATCACTGTTCCAGTCATCACTCAGCTTTACTTGAAGGTGAATCTTATTGCCTCCATGCTGAACCACTGCAAATGCTTCTTTGTCTTCAGAGATTGAGAGAACATCACTAACTACTGTTGCATGATCAAATTTTTCCACTAACTCCAACTGGTCTTCGCCTGTCACTCTTATAATTAGCTTGAGGGTATTTATTTTTAAAGTAAACATCCCAGTTAGTGTTGAAGGTAATATCATTGCTATCCCTGTAGAATCCTTCACAAGGCTTGAAATATATGTTTGATGAAAGTTTAATTTCCCATTTCTAAAGCTTACTGTCACCAAAATTGATCGAGTGGTATCCAAAGCCACCAGTGTCTCACTTGAAACTAATGCAAGTTCCCCAACAAAACCACCAGAAAAGTCGGTGGTCTCATGCTTCAGTAAATCCCCATTCATAGCATTGATTTCATATGCATGAAACTGAGTTAAACCGGCAAAACCTACCACATATATTTTATCACTATCATGAAGCGGAATTACCTGCTGAACCTCTACACTGCAGACAGAAAGACCACAAGATATCAGTGGCACTCTGATGGCCAACAAGTTCAACTTAAAGAGACAGTTTGAGAGATGAAACTCCAAACTAACCTTTCAGCTGCAAGATCCTTTGTCCAAAGAACCTCACCATCTATGCTTGAAACACCATGAACACATCCTTTACCAGAGACAATGATCACTTTGTCCTTGTCAACTTTCAAAGTTTTCTGCATTATCCATTTCAATTAATGACATATTTTCCAAATTTAGGCAGAAATTTGCAGTAAAACTTAATAGATATGTGCAAACTGCCTGGAGAATGCCTCGAAGAAGCAATGAAATTCCAGGAAGGGTGCAAATTAAGATAAAAAGAAAAGAAAAATTCAATAAAGAAGCTTCTTACGACATGTTGATAGCATGCATTATTCTGTACATGACCCATGACATTTAGAAGTCAACTTTCGACAGAAATAGTAAGGATCTGAAACTAAACTATTTACTTCCTTTGAATAATTAAATTAAGTGCAACAATTGTCAAGATGTTCTAAAAATTGTTATTTAAGAACAATGGGTTCTGAGAGAAAAAGAAGAAAGACAATAAGAGGGGAAGAAGAATCACAAATAACATAGTGTTAATTTAATAAGTTCCAACAATTACTGTAACATTCACTCGATGTTATTTACTGACCAGCACCATTAATGATGACTTTGAGTGCTTTGGACCACGAAGAAAAGATTCCCACACCATCTGCCCATCGGGAAGGTTCCACGCTCTTAGAATACTTCCATCCGATGAAAGGGTGATAACATCTGAAAGAATTGAATGAAACATTCAAAATTTAATGAACTCTTCCTTTTCAGTACTTGCACCTCCTATCGGTAATGCCAAAAGGGAAAAACAATAGTATCCAAAGACAGAAAAAAGTCTGAAAGAGTATCACTGAATGATAATTAACATCCTAGACATGATAGAACCATAAGAATATTGAAATTCAAAGTCGACTATAAAATTGGGGATTAAAGTGATCATCCTCCTATTTCCTTTCCATCCTTCTTACAGCCAAACTAATGTCCAAGAGATGCCAAATTGAGAATTATTGAAATTCAATAAAACATCCTCGTGCTGCCTCTATTTTTTATTGAAGGAAATTCATCTATGACCAAGTAACTACTTGCACAAAGCCACTAACTCATATCACTCATACATATAACTAGGCAAAAACAAAACAGATATCACTTCTAACATAATAATAAAAAAAACAACCATAGTTTGCGCGACGACTTACATTTACCCAACGCAATATCAATTCCATCAATAGCATCATTAGTCCCAAGAACATGTCTCCAAACTGCAAAAGTGCCAGCGAAGCCAATTTCAGTACAGTTAAAAATTTGATAGACAGCTCAAACGGATCAAAATGAAAACAAATTCAGTTTATAGTCGGGGAAGAGAAACTAACAAATCTCGCCGTGACGGAGATCAAGCGAGGCAATAACATTCTCTTCAGTGGATACCAGCACACGCTTTCGACCGGTCTTTTGTGTGTGAAACACTGCGTGCTTCACTTTGCCTATGTACTGTTGATGCCTGAATTAATCCAAAAAAAAAAAAATCAAAACGTAAACCTAACACGATCGAAACAAATAACGATTTGAAGTATAATTAATTGCGTTAATGAGTTACCAATCCATGAGGCCGACTTGATCTTCGTAAAGCGAAAAGATGGAAGTTGCACATGATAAAAGTAGTAGAATAAGAAGAAAAACTCTAGTCGCCATGAATATGGCAAATTACTCTCCCCCTCTGTTTGTGCCAGTGAGAAGAGACAGATCTGAGAAGACGAGGACGAGTTTGTAAGAGCTTATAAGTGAACAGTGTTTACAAAAAGCCGGCTGCATCTAATAAAGTTAAAAATTGATACATAATTATGTGGAATATTAGGACCTCCCCTTGGTTTCAATAAGTATCATTTGTCCCCTCCTCAAGTTTATAACCTTCTTTTTTATTTTTTTAGTACATTTATAAAATGTTTATGCGAAATATTTTATATATTAAATTATGATTTGATATGAATAAATGAAGGAAAAACTAATAATAATAATTAAAGGATGTAATAATAATATAATACAGTAATTTTATGAATGCAAATAGCCTCTTTAATTGTTCCATAGAAATTATTGATTAACAGAATCCACCCTAAAACATCTATATTCTATTGTTTCCTATTTAATCTTTATGATCTTAAGATCAACGGTGATCCTTAAATGACTGGACCAAAGTCTGGCTGCACAGGTATGGTCCAATGACCCATTTATACATGGATCATTGTCCTAGGTGGTATACAAAATCCATCAAACTACCGGTGACATAATCATCCAGATATAAAGGAAAACAAAAATCTACTGTTTTTTTTCTAGTGTCTGAATCATCGTGATTGGGAGAGACTGTGGAGTGAAGTATCACTGTATTTTTTTTTTACGCTACTTTAAAAACAACTCACTCAGATTCCAAAAGAACTTTGCAACTCCTATTTTTCACTTGATTTGACCTCAGAACAGCAAAAAGTCTCGGCCTTTCTTAGCGGGAAGATCCAAAGCGCTGATTTTTTTTGCTAGTGAGCAGAGCAAGAGTGTCAGTTTCGCTGCCGTTAAATGATTTTTAGTTCAAAAGATTGAAGACCCTTTTGGCCTTGTGCGGTAATCCGGTCTCTCATTTCATTTGAGTTGGATTTTTAAATGTTTTGTTTATGAATCTCGTTGTTTCGGGTCCTCATTGGTGTTATTAACGTTAATTTGGTTTGATTTGAAATGGTATTGAAGGTTCTTTTGATGCTTCGATTTGAACTTGTTTTGCGACGTTTATTGTGAATCAGAGCTTGTCTAGATTCCCAACACATCGTTGAGATAAGAGAGAAAAGTTGCGTTTTTTAAGATGAGTTGGATGGAGATTTTCTAGTTATATAATGGTGGCAATACTAGTTTGGTTTGAAGTCTACCATTATTTGTAACGAGCATTAAGATATTGTTGAGAATGTATAAAATGGGACAACTTATGTATTTTTGAACTTAAGTTAGTAAATCAAATAAGAATAATGAGACTGGTAGATTTTTATGTTTTTCAGCGGCAATGATAATGTTAAGATGCTGCTAGGAGCTATTAAGTAGGTGAGATATTAAGATTGGCTTGGTTTTTTCGATTCGATGGCATCATTTAGAAGAAACTTGTCTCCAGTTCCTAGCGCGGGAACTTTATTAAATGGGGAAGCTTTTTCGGTTGCTTCACCTTTATCAAAGACCTCATCATGTACTCAGAATCACCCTCCAGCTTCCAACGGACTGTTATCTTCTTTGTTCAGTTCACTGGACCCCCAAGCTTCGGTTCTTGGTGTTTCCTCACCAAGACCTTCCAGATCCCTTGAGAGGTCGAAACCAAAGGGGCAAATATGGAGGAGAGCTGGTTCTCATTTCTTGATTTGTTTTGTGGTTGGGGTTTTTGTTGGACTCACCTCATTTGTTTCCATGAATTTGTCAACAAATCTTATATCAAAGCAACACGCTTTCACCTTTGAGATGGTCTCTGCTGTTGGGAATTTTCAAATATACGATGGTACAACAAGCAATGCAGCACTGCTGATAAATAGTGAAAGTACCAAGCGTAATGCAACGGTAGAATCACAAGTGAAGAAACTTGAATCAATTGATGTTTTATCTAATGATGACTCTGCAAATCAGTCAATTCCTCAAGATTCAGCTTTGGTGTATCGGAAACTTTTGATAATTGTGACCCCAACAAATACTCAACCATTTCAAGCTTATTATCTAAACCGTTTGGCGCACACATTATGGATGGTCCAACCTCCTCTGTTGTGGATAGTTGTGGAAATGTCCTCCCAATCTGAGGAAACAACTGACATCCTAAGGAGAACTGGGGTTATGTACAGGCATCTTGTTTGCAAAAAAAATCTAACTGATGTGAAAGATAGAAGAGTCTACCAAAGGAATGTGGCTCTATCTCATATTGAGAATCATCGTCTTGATGGCATTGTCTACTTTGCCGATGATGATAATGTATATTCTACTGATCTTTTCGAGCAACTGAGAGAGATCAGGTACTTTTTCTTGCTAGAGGGCTTAAAATTATCGTTTGGACTGTTATTTGAAAACTTAACTTTTAGGTGAAATAGTAACTTAACATGGTATTAGAATAAAAGGTGTTGATTTCAGATCCCCCATATATGATCACATGCTGGCATTTGTATTTGCATTTGTAATTGGTAGTGGATCTGTTTGTTTTGCCTGAATTTAGGCTGTTGGCATACAAGGGACCTGTTAGAGGCTTAAAATTATTGTTTGGGTAAGGCTTTCGTGCGAAGTGGTAATTGATAGTAAAAAATGGATACCTCTGTCTGTTGCTAGATTACTGTCTTGGGTACAGTTGATCTTAAGCATGCACTCCACTAACCCAGAATCTCTATCATATAGCTGAAAGTATTTTATATCTAGAATTTCAAACCTGTGCTTCTATCATATGGTTTAATCAGCTTAGTGGGTATATCTATCTGAACCTGTACCACATGTTCATTTGATTCATAACTTCTCTAAAGTGATTGAGTTTCTCTCTGCACATTTTTCTAATTAACCATAAGCGGCTGTTGATGCTCCTTTGGAACTTTCTCTTTAGCGTGGTTCCTAGTTGTCATTCTCTGCTTGTGGCACTTGCTTATTGGTTTTAGGTTCTATTGCCATACCCTCTCCTTCGAAACCAGATAATCTAATTGCAAATACATCTTTTTCTGGTGCATCTTGTTTTAGCAAGGTTCATTTTATTTTAACTTGCAGGCGATTTGGAACATGGACAGTGGCCAAACTAACAGAAAACAGAGTCAAAGCTGTCTTGGAGGGTCCCATTTGCAATGGAACTCAAGTCATTGGATGGCATATAAATGAACCAAGTAGGAGGTCTCGGAGATTCCATGCTGAAATGTCAGGGTTTGCCTTCAATAGCACTGTTCTCTGGGATCCAAAGCAATGGCACCGACCTACCCTTGAACCTATTCGGCAGATTGATACAACTAAGGATGGGTTTCAAGTATGTTGTCTCATTATTAATCTTGGTCGCTCATCATCCTTTTGCTTGGCATGTTCTCATGGGACAAAACAAAAATCATTATACGACATGATCGAGAAGTGTTATCATTTAAATTAAATTGCCTTTTCCTCGCAAACACTAAATGAACTTAGTAACGTGCTATTCTGGTTTGTGGGTCTTCAGTTGCATGCCTTTGGTGTGCAAGGTCTAGATGTAACAGACATTCGGTTTCCCGTAAAGAGATTGTTGTTTAAATGTCTCTCCTTCTAAAATAACATATTATTATCGATTCATTATTGAAAATGAAGATGGGAGGGTTTATTTTTCCAAATCAAGTTCTAATTTTGGCAAATTGACGAGCTTACTCTTCACTGCTTGATGGTCGATGATCTCCAGAGAAAGCTAAGACCGAATCTTCTCCTTTCATGAAGACAAACTTTAAAAGAAGGAGAAAGCTTGATGTTTTGAATTTTAGTAGGCCCAAAATGATTAGTCCTTAATTTAAAATGCATCATTCTACCCCTTTGAGATTGACTTCAACAAGTAAGCTCATTGGTTTCTATTTGCAGGCAAGCACATTTATTGAACAAATTGTGGAAGATGAAAGCCAAATGGAGGGCTTGCTGGAGAACTGCTCCAGAATCATGGTTTGGCTTCTTCCTTCTGAGTCATCTGACTCATTCTATCCTCAGAAATGGTTCTTGAAGAATAATCTTGATGTCATTGCCCCGCTTGCGTGAAGTTCTTGATTTGGAAGATGTAAATTTGTATGGTGAAGGTAAGTGATTTCGTCTGACATTTATTTTGCATTTCCATACTATATTACTCTAAATTTGTTGGATTTCATACATATATATATATATATATATATATGTTCAGATTTCTCACTTCAGGATGTTTAGTTGTCACATGGAAAAGAAGTGACATTTCATACATGAATATGTTTATATGCTAACTCAATTTCGACTGTTCTCTGATTTTTCATGTTGATGATTTTGTTGTGATAGGACAAATCAGTCGAGCAGTGTGATCACAGACACTTCTGATTGTGGTTAAAACTTGTNGTATATCTATCTGAACCTGTACCACATGTTCATTTGATTCATAACTTCTCTAAAGTGATTGAGTTTCTCTCTGCACATTTTTCTAATTAACAATAAGCGGCTGTTGATGCTCCTTTGGAACTTTCTCTTTAGCGTGGTTCCTAGTTGTCATTCTCTGCTTGTGGCACTTGCTTATTGGTTTTAGGTTCTATTGCCATACCCTCTCCTTCGAAACCAGATAATCTAATTGCAAATACATCTTTTTCTGGTGCATCTTGTTTTAGCAAGGTTCATTTTATTTTAACTTGCAGGCGATTTGGAACATGGACAGTGGCCAAACTAACAGAAAACAGAGTCAAAGCTGTCTTGGAGGGTCCCATTTGCAATGGAACTCAAGTCATTGGATGGCATATAAATGAACCAAGTAGGAGGTCTCGGAGATTCCATGCTGAAATGTCAGGGTTTGCCTTCAATAGTACTATTCTCTGGGATCCAAAGCAATGGCACCGACCTACCCTTGAACCTATTCGGCAGATTGATACAACTAAGGATGGGTTTCAAGTAAGTTGTCTCATTATTAATCTTGGTCGCTCATCATCCTTTTGCTTGGCATGTTCTCATGGGACAAAACAAAAATCATCATACTACATGATCGAGAAGTGTTATCATTTAAATTAAATTGCCTTTTCCTCGCAAACACTAAATGAACTTAGTAACGTGCTATTCTGGTTTGTGGGTCTTCAGTTGCATGCCTTTGGTGTGCAAGGTCTAGATGTAACAGACATTCGGTTTCCCGTAAAGAGATTGTTGTTTAAATGTCTCTCCTTCTAAAATAACATATTATTATCGATTCATTATTGAAAATGAAGATGGGAGGGTTTATTTTTCCAAATCAAGTTCTAATTTTGGCAAATTGACGAGCTTACTCTTCACTGCTTGATGGTCGATGATCTCCAGAGAAAGCTAAGACCGAATCTTCTCCTTTCATGAAGACAAACTTTAAAAGAAGGAGAAAGCTTGATGTTTTGAATTTTAGTAGGCCCAAAATGATTAGTCCTTAATTTAAAATGCATCATTCTACCCCTTTGAGATTGACTTCAACAAGTAAGCTCATTGGTTTCTATTTGCAGGCAAGCACATTTATTGAACAAATTGTGGAAGATGAAAGCCAAATGGAGGGCTTGCTGGAGAACTGCTCCAGAATCATGGTTTGGCTTCTTCCTTCTGAGTCATCTGACTCATTCTATCCTCAGAAATGGTTCTTGAAGAATAATCTTGATGTCATTGCCCCGCTTGCGTGAAGTTCTTGATTTGGAAGATGTAAATTTGTATGGTGAAGGTAAGTGATTTCGTCTGACATTTATTTTGCATTTCCATACTATATTACTCTAAATTTGTTGGATTTCATACATATATATATATATATATATATGTTCAGATTTCTCACTTCAGGATGTTTAGTTGTCACATGGAAAAGAAGTGACATTTCATACATGAATATGTTTATATGCTAACTCAATTTCGACTGTTCTCTGATTTTTCATGTTGATGATTTTGTTGTGATAGGACAAATCAGTCGAGCAGTGTGATCACAGACACTTCTGATTGTGGTTAAAACTTGTCCCAGATTGAGGCTGGCTGATGCCTGCTTAGAGTTCTCATTAATGTGAGCATAGAGGCTGGTTCATACACCATTTTTTCCGATTTCCAAAACAATGCAAAAAATTTGCAGACAAGAGTTATCATTATTTTGCTACAATTGCTTGAGTTATTCAACTTGTGCATTGAGTCGCCTCCTATGTTCAAAGAGGTGACATTTAATGTGGCTAAGTTGGACAGGATGGTCAAAAGCAAACCATCCTATGTTTATGAGTTGCATATAAATTATGTAATTTTTTTGTACGCCCTCATTTTCATGCTTTACTTTTCCTTTTGTGTAAAAGCAAAAGCAATACGTTTAGTTGTTTGGTGCTCTCGGGCTTGTTCATATTCATTCAAGAACTAAGATAACAGTCATATTGGATCAGACCAGTGAGCTAATTAAAACTTGACTTCTCTTTTAAACAGGAATAAGAAAATCATTACAAAGGCAAGGCAAGGCAGCAGCATATCTCGAGAATAATTCAAGCCGCAAATCGAAATTTCATTGCATACGGTCTGAGTTTTTGTCTTAAATTTAAATTTTAATACTGTGTAAATGTATTTGAGCATTGGAATATAAAAGTCGATATGTCCGAGTGGTTAAGGAGACAGACTCGAAATCTGTTGGGCTTTGCCTGCGCAGGTTCGAATCCTGCTGTCGACGTTTTGAACTCTATTTTCTCGTTTTTGGGCGTTAGTTTATACTGCAGTAAAATTCTGATTCTATGCCGTAGAATGAGTGCATTTTACTTCATTCTTTGCCTGTCTTCTTCAAATTTGAATTGCTTTCTCTGAATCAACAATTCATAATGATAAACTCTTTTCTTAGCCAGCTTTCTTTTATTTCTCATTTGCAATTTACAAATGGTTCCAAACTTAGACCTCATCCTCCTTGCATTTCTACATGGCTCCTTCATTGCTTTTGTTCTTCTTCTGCTCGTCTTACTCATCGTCATTCTCATGTCACTAGCATTCTCTCTATCCCTCTTGTCAATTATCGCTATCGATCTATCCACAGTTTATTCGACTTCTTCTCCGTATTTTGAGACAGTAGAGGCCGATCTTGAGCTGGGTTTTTTTCTATTTCTTTGCATGATACTGCGTTACGCCATTGATATTGTTTCGGCTTCACAATCCTGGCTCCAACGTGTAGTCCCCGAATTCAAAGAAAAGGGCAGACACGTCATAACCCGCATGAATGCTGAGCTTCTCAAAGCTCGAAGATAATGAACTGAAGTTCTTCAGATTTAAACCTTGCTTAACATTTGCTGATGATGCAGTTACTCGGTGATTGCAGAGCTCTGGGTTGTTTAACTCGGTGATTGCAGAGCTCTGGGTTGTTTAACAACTTTGGTCTCCATTGTATTAAAATACAAATTACAATACCGTTTGTTAATTGCCTTTGATTATTTTGTTTTTTAGTTTCAACATGTGGCTATTGAGAGGAAGAATATGAGTGAATATGAGGAGCAGGATGTGTACAATTCTCCACCGGCCAAATGTAAATTCTCATATACACCCATCTGATTTTAACTTCATTAGTTGCTAGTGAGCATATCCTGTAATTGGACCAAATTCCTTGAGAATTCAACAATAATTTTATCAATCTGACTTAGTATGAACAATTTGAATGTTTTTAATTCCAAAAAATGTAGTGGAAATTATATGGAATTAAATATGATGGACACAAAATTAGACGGAAGTCAAAATAAAGGGACTATATATCAAACGGTGACGTTTGTCTTGTTTTCGAGTTTAGGCGCCACGTGTTTCACTCTCGCTTCTATGACAATTGATACCCACTTATGCACTTGTTTAAACTTTAAAAATACAAAAGCAACTTCCGTTTCTGGTGGATCTCGCACTATTCCAATGAAAACAAACGTCTGTTTCTCACAGAACCTGGGCTTTCCGGCTGTTGACCCTAACATCACTTTTAGCCCCTGTTTATTGTCAAAGCGATGCAGTTTTGATTCTCAGTTTCGGTCTCGAACGGCAAGTATTAGAGTCGCGGCTTCCGGTTCGGTCACCAGAAATGATTCTTCTACTTCTTCAGCTCAAACAGAGAGCGGAGTCTCTGTGAATCCGGTTTACTTACCCACGCCGCCCAATAGAGATCTTAGGACTCCTCACAGCGGGTCAGATTTGTTTTAATTTACTTACAAATTCATTGATGTTATCAGTTTGTTGTTGTTGGTCTTTTATATTAATGGTTTATTTATACAAAAATAATAATAATCAGGTACCATTTTGATGGGACCACTCGCAAATTTTTTGAGGGTTGGTACTTTAAGGTCTCAATTCCAGAGCGGAAGCAAAGCTTTTGCTTTATGTATTCTGTGGAGAATCCTGCCTTCAAGAAGAAATTGTCGACATTGGAAGTGGCACAACATGGGCCTAGATTTACCGGTGTTGGGGCTCAAATTCTTGGTGCTGATGACAAGTATATATGTCAATTCTCCGAAGAATCTTCTAATTTTTGGGGAAGTAAGTTTTGCTCACCTATGGTTATCTCAATATTTAATGGCCAGTGCTTAATTGACAATTTTTTAATACATAGGTAGGCATGAGCTGATATTGGGGAATACTTTTGTATCTGAGAAGGATTCACGACCTCCTAATAAGGAGGTTCCTCCTCAGGTTAGTATATACTACTTGTATCTTACACTTTCAATTGTTGTGAAGGATTCTCATTCCTTTGTCAATTTTCATTTTCATTTAAATTCATTTTTCTTAACATTTGGGTTAAGAGAGTCTGGTGGCCTATATGTCTACACCACATAATTGGTTTAGATTTGTCTGAGTTAAAGGAAAATGCCTCCAGAAAGTTTGCCAATTGCAGCCCATCATGCTTGAAAATGAGGTTGCTCGACAAAAATATCAAGTGATAGTAGTGCATCACATTATCCAATTATTGCTGTGAAGGCATAGGTTATAGGTTGTTGACGTCAATTGATATGGATCTGGCCACTGTATTGCCTCATTATTGATATTTGACTTTTTGCATTACTTGCTATCTCTCTACTCCAAAGTCAGAAAATTAAATGATTATTATTTCTTTTTCCAACCATTAGGGATTACTGTTGATAAACATTTTTTTTTTCTCTCTTGAATTTTCTCTCTCAAAAGAAGTTAATATCTGCATGGTGAAAAAACCAAGCAGGAAGGTTTAGTTCTGTTCTCATCATTTGTAAGAAATGCTTGTTATAGTTTATACTATGGATTCTCAATTTTAATTGCTTTTGGCTACCGTTACATGGTTGTTCTGCAGGAATTTAATAAAAGAGTATTAGAAGGTTTTCAAGTCAGCCCATTGTGGCATCAAGGTTGTATTTATGATGATGGCAGGTACCTTCTTTTATTACATATATATATGGGGTTTTAATATCTTGCATTTAAGTTTTTGAATTTATTATCATGTAATGCTGACATGTACTTTACTAGAAGTACCAAACCTTATTTGACCAGTTGGACTTTGACATGACGGAGCTTCTACTTGCAGAACAAATTATGTTGAATGTGTGAAAACTGCACGTTGGGAGTATAGTACTCGCCCTGTTTATGGATGGGGTAATGTTGGGTCTAAACAGAAGTCTACGGCTGGTTGGCTGGCAGCTTTTCCTGTATTTGAACCCCATTGGCAAGTATGCATGGCAGGCGGACTTTCAACAGGCATTCACTAATCTCCTTTTAACAATTAACAAACACATTGTATTTGTTGGCTAATTTTCTTGCTTTGCAGTTGACAATCATATTATAGTTTTTTATATGTGCTGTGCTATTTGGCTGAAGCTTTTACTTTGGATCCTAGGTTGGATAGAGTGGGATGGTGAAAAGTTTGAGTTTCAGAATGCCCCTTCTTATTCGGAAAAGAATTGGGGTGGAGCATTCCCCAGAAAGTGGTTTTGGGTAAATGTTTAAGTCTTAGCAGCTTGCTGTGCTAATTTTCAGCATAGCAATTAATTGTTTCATTGGCTATAATTTTCACTCTTGCATTTTGTCTGGTGATATAATTGTGTTTAAGATGAATAGATTTTCCTGTTATCCATTCTGGATAAATCACATCCTCTTAAAGGCTCTATGTCAAATTCTGCACCTCACACTTTGACTTAGGTGGATATTAAATTGTTTTGCTTTCTTTCACTAGATTCTGTCTTTGATTATGAAGCCCACTTTTTTGTTACCCAGCAAGGCTGCTTTCAATGACAATACACTTTCTGTCTGCTGGTCATGTTTATGCTCTGTTAGGTTCTTAATTGGATGCAATCTAATTTTGATATCCTCACAGTAATAGCACTGTGCTGAACTACCTACATGCTGTAACTTTCTGCATCTCCCATTTTTCATGTGGTGCTTCAGGTTCAATGTAATGTCTTTGAAGGTGCAAGTGGAGAAGTTGCTTTGACTGCAGCTGGTGGGTTGAGGCAACTACCTGGACTGTCTGACACCTTTGAAAATGCTGCATTGGTAAGTTTTTATGGCAATTTCTACATCTGTGTTGTTTTGCTTCATCCTGTCAAAGTTTCTTTTGCTCAGTAGTTAGGTTAGGGTGAAACCAAAACCAAGAGGCATGCTGCCTCATTTTTATGTCCTAATCATTGTGCTATGACAGTGTAATCTTTTTCAAGGGACATTAATTAAAAAATTGATTAAGAAATTGGAATTAGTTCTTGCTAGCTTAACATTCATTGTCATATTGCATAGAACGCTGTGCCTTGATATATATATATATATATAGAGCCAATCTTACAGACTCTGGCATGTTGGAACCATTTTTTCCTTCATTCGTTGACATATGTGTTATGATGTACACTGATGCAGATTGGAGTGCATTATGATGGAATTTTCTATGAATTTGTGCCGTGGAATGGTGTTGTAAATTGGGAAATTGCTCCATGGGGTTACTGGTTCATGGCTGCAGAAAACGAGACACATGTGGTAAGATTGTCTTGTTATATTCTCTTTCTTCTTGTGCACTAGTCTAAAGAGTCTCACATCAAATAACCTGCTCATTGTCGGGACCTTTTGTGATTTTTTTTTTTTTTTTTCATTGATTTGGACGTGTGAGACTTTACATTTTGAAATGATTTAACAGACAGTGTTTGTGTCTATGGCCAGGTTGAATTAACGGCAACAACAAAGGATCCTGGTACTACCTTGCGGGCTCCAACTTCAGAAGGTGGCCTAGCTCCAGCTTGTAAAGATACTTGTTTTGGGGAGCTAAGATTGCAGTTATGGGAACGAAGACATGGCGGCAGTAAGGGAAAGGTGTATACTATTTTCTCACTGGTAGTCATATTTAGCATGCCACTTGTGGATGGAGTTATTGTATAGATTTCATACTTCCAATTTTTTTTAATATGTAGATGATATTGGACGTTACAAGTGACATGGCAGCGGTGGAAGTAGGAGGAGGACCATGGTTCAATACATGGACAGGGACGACTGCAACACCAGAGCTTCTTAAACGTGCTCTTGGTGTTCCTGTAGATGTGGATGGACTTTTCGGTTTTGCTCCATTCTTCAAGCCACCTGGTCTATAGCCAGTTGCTACGCTAGGGAAAGGATGCGTGATATTTATGTAAATGAATACCCATTCTGGAAGGCTGTATGGCATAGCTTAATTACAGTGCTTGATTTTGGGGAAAATTCTTGGAAAAATCAATTTTAGGGTTCTCATGAATATGATGCTGAGGTAACTATGAGTTTATGAGGACTGTCCCAAGTAATGTCTTATCTGTGACTTGGATTTGGAACAATCTTTTGGGCAACAAAGCAAGCAATATGCCAAAAGTATTAATTCTTATTTAATTAGGTGAGTGTATACTTTATTTATGCATTCAATAAATTGTAATTCAGGAAATCTATAAATATGGAAGCCATCTCTGATGAAATCAAAAGATCAATCATAAAAAAAAATTATGAAATTATTTTCTAGCAATTGTTTGTACTAATGTCTTATGGATAATATTTTAGTTTTATAAAGTCTTGATTTATTTAATTTTATTTTTTTATAATTATTGGGATGTGTAGAGAAAATATATTTTTCAATTTTAATAATATATATGCTTAAAAGCTTGTGCTGTGTGTATACTCTATATTTCCTTTGAATAATTAATTTGAAGAAGATATGGAAAATAAAATAAAATAATCAAATTTGACGGGTGGGAATAAGATGCGGTTACAATTATCTCTGAATGATCGAGTGATTCGATAAAGATTTTTGGATGTATTACTCAAAAGGTCTTGAATTTAAATTCTACTTCAGTTGATAATAGAGGTAGCCACTAGAACTCTTACCTGACCGATGGTTCTAGAGTCTCAAATAATTAATTAAGGTGTACGTAAGCTGACCACTATTATTTTTTTGTTTCACGTAACTAAATAAATGCTACTCAAACCTTGGAAAACACTATTCTAAACTTTGAGTTGTTGAATTTGTGGCTTCATGTTGTGTATTGTTTTTTGTTGTGTTTCGTTTGATTGGATTTACCAACTATTTGATTTGTACAATTTTATGCAGTTGTTTAGGATGAAGATTTTCAAGGTTTGTGTTTTATTTCCATGTTATTATAATATTATGAGTAAATGAGACATATTCCCTCTATTTTAAAAACCGGACTTTTTGTAATATTTTAAAATTATAAGGGTTTTGAAATTTTATAGGGGTGTTTTAGAGATATGTCAAAAGTTTAGGGATTAATTGATAATTTTTTGGGGTATTTTTTTAAATAAATAAAAATTTTAGGGACTAACTTGAACTTTTTAGGTAAATTTTTGCAATATATTAAAATTTAAGGGATTAATATGTAATTTTTTAAAAATAAAATTGTCGCTGACATTATCGGTCCAATCGGCAGGTTCAACCGATTGGACCGGTTGACCCGTGACCCAGGCAGTAAAACGGGTTGCCCTCTAGTCCGGGTTTTAAAACAATGTATATTCCCACAAAGGTTTGACGAAATCCTAAGTTAATACCCCTGGTTCCATTTATTTTAGATTCCCACCCTTAAAATAACACTGTTAGCAATATTTAGGTTACAGAAGGTGATATTACCATAATGCCCTTAATAAATAAATTAATAAATTATGTCTTAACCCCTAAATTACTAAAATTATAAAATTAATCATCTTATTTTCAAATTACTTCAATAACACCCTCGGTGACTGCACACCCTCTCGGTTTTTGTTGGATCTAGGTTGTTTCTGATGGTGTTGAACCCCTTGGTCACCTGCATCACCTTCCCCGTCGTCCGTCCTCCAAAACCCCTTTGGTTCCCAACTCATTGGCCCCTTCAATCGTCGGCGTCGTAAGGCTTAGGGTTTCACTATTCTTTGCTAGATTTTGATCAATTCCAACGACGAAAATTCAATTGAATTTCGTTAAATCTCGGGTGAGAATATGTCGTGTTTACTCTAATATTATTAAAGCTTCATAATCCAACACGAGAGAATTCAACCGAGCCATATCTTTCCCTGTGCTTCGGTTGTTGCGTAATTTGCGTCAATGACACAATCCCCAACTGTTTTAAAGCTTAGGCCCCGAATCATCCAAATAATTTGCACATTTTTCTTTAATTTTTATTATTCATGACTTTCATTAGTGGTTCAGTTTTCAAGTATGATGATCATTTTCACCATATTAAATTATTTATTTTTATTTTTTTTAAACTTTCCTTTATGGACTCTTATAGTTTTGCTTACATCTACAAGCCAATAACAGTTAAGAGAATCTAATTTTGAGTCATTGCCAATCCAATGGTTTAGCTGCAACTGTCCAACATGTCACAAAGGTGTACACGCAACAAACAGTACGTTGATCTGATGTCCATGTTCATGTTGCTTTCGCTTCAACCGTTGCCTGAAACTGGCCTCTCTGTTTCCCTTTTATATTTGAGATGGAAACAATCATTTGTTTGCCCTCTCTGTCTTCAAAACGCAGTTGCTTTCAACCTCAACTGCGGTCTAGAGTGTTGGCTTCCGCTTCCACTTCTTCAACTCAGACTACTGTGAACACAGTCTCTTCTTATGAGACCACACCGCCCAATCGACACCTTCGAACTCCTCACAGCGGGTAATACTCATACCTCTCTTTCACTTTCAAATTCTGTGTTGTACAGAGCCTCCCATTTTTGCTCTTATAATACTTCATGCAATGCAAATGTTTATAAAAAGAAAGAAAGAAAATCTTTGTTTCAACGTTCGTGCAAAGTTGAAAGAACTATAATCAGACACGCTTTGAAAGATCATGTACTAGTGATCGGTTAATTTGTGATTTATATTAATGGTTTGTGTGGTATGCGGCGATAAATACTTGAATCAGGTACCAATTCGATGGGACTGCGCGGAAATTTTTTGAGGGTTGGTACTTCAAGGTCTCAATTCCAGAGCAGAGACAGAGCTTTTGCTTTATGTATACTGTGGAAAATCCTGCCTTCAATACAAAATTGTCAGCATTGGAATTGGGACAGTACGGTCCTCGATTCACTGGAGTTGGGGATCAAATTCTTGGTGCCGATGACAAGTACATATGTCAAAACTCTCAAGAATCTTCAAATTTTTGGGCAAGTGAGTTTTTATTTTATTTTATTTTTAATAATTTAATTTTTTTCTATTTTTGTAAATTCTGATTAGTTATTTTACCGTCTTACTAAGACAAGGAGCCAAAACTAATGTAGGTAACAAAATAGTTTGATAAAAACTCTTAGATATATTACTCAAAAGGTTAAGTTTGAATCTTTTCTTGATTGTTAACAGGGATAGTAACTAGAGTTTTTACCTTTAGAGTCTCAGGGGTTAGTTGAGGTACGTGAAACTGGTTTGAATACGCCGATCCTTATAAAAAAAGAAAAAAAAGGGGTAAGGAGCCGAGCCTAATAGATCATGGGACTTTCTCATGTTTATTATTTTATTAATCTATCATAAGTCATGACATCACTTTTGGAACAGTAATCCTGTCATTTTATTTTCTATTTTCCACCTTGTCTTCTTGTCGAATTCTTAATTAAATTTTGCTAATGGATAGGTAGGCATGGCTTGATATTGGGGAATACTTTTACAGCTGAGAAAGATTCGCAGCCTCCAAACAAAGAAGTTCTTCCACAGGTTAACATACATCACTTGGATTCTACTCTTCAAGTGTAATGTTAAGGCCATTTATACAGTTAAATTCTACATTTTTATGTGTAAGTGATGCGTTTTAATACTACTCTTACTTCCGATAATGATAAATTGAGGCCAATTTTGTCATAATAACTTAATAAGTGTTCTTGAAGGCTAGTAATTACCTATTGTCTGCTGTATTCTTTACTTCTTGTTGATCTATGATATGTTGCCGTTGATACTCAACAGTCTTAGGTTGATCAGTTCAACGGATTTATCTTGTATGGTTCAGAGCTTCTGGCATTGGTTTCAAACTACTTTGCCACACATTTAACTTAGTAAAAGGACATATTTAGATGGCCTTTGGGCCAGGGTCTAAACAACTGGTTATGTACTAAATTTAATAAATTCTGTCCTTCGAAAATTTTGCTGAGAATAATTTTTTTTTCTCATAACACTCTTTAACATAGGATTCTTGAGATTGATTTTTTAAAATTTTAGGGTACACTTTAGAGATACATGTAGAACTGTAAACGAGCCGAGCCGAGTCGAGTTTTCAACTTATTAAGATCGGCTCGTTTACTATAGGGTCGAGCTCGAGTTTGAGCTTGAGCCTGACGAGCTTGGGAATTGCGACTCGAACTAAAATAAAAATCCTTTCTTCCTTATTTCTCGTTTACAAAATTTTTTATATATATCTCTTTCAACATTTTCCCATATTCTTGTTATGTTACTTGAGTTTGCACCCTATTTGTCCTGTTATTATTTCTGTTTTATTTTCATTTTCTTTCGTTGTCTTCTGTTTTTCAAACTTGAAAAAGGGTTGAAAATGGTGGAACCTGTCGGGAATATTTCGAGTGTCTTGGGTGTTGTTATCCAAGTTTGCAAGTGGTTGGCTGCTCCGATTGGGCGTCGATTTATGTACTTGTACAACTACAATACCAACTTTGACAATCTCCGAGAAGAAGTTAATAGGCTGAAGGATGCGAAAGACAAAGTGGAGCGTAAGGTTGATGCTGCTTAAAGAAATGTGGAAGAGATTGAAGAAAATGTGAGGAAGTGGCAGAATAATGTGGAGAATAGATAAGTGTCAGTTTTTTAAAGTTTTTTCACTGCCACATAACAGTTTAGTACCTCATGGTTTATAAAACTCACCAAAGCACCCTGCATAACTGCATACGTGAGCCAGCCCAGGCTCGAGAGCCCACCAGCCGAGCTCCCCCATGTTCGAACTCAACTCAATTAATAAACCGAATTCGAGCCGAGTCGACTCGATAATTGTCGAGTCGAGGTAAGCTGGCTCGCGAGCCACTCAACTCGTCTGACAGTCCTAGATACATGCAATATGGGAACATCTATGCCTCCTCTGGAGAGGTTTAAAAATTCAGTTTTCTTTATTCCGGGTAGTGAATTATTCAATTGGTTGGATCACTGTTTTACCATGTGGAAACTTGTCATGAACATTTGGGAGAAGAGAGCTTGAAAGCTTACATGTCAGATACCATTCAATATTCTTTTGCCTGCATATGTCTTTAACATTATATGTCACAACCATGGAATATTTCTATACCTGCATTTTACATCGGTTATTCTTTGCAGGAATTCAATAGAAGAGTATTTGAAGGTTTTCAAGTCACTCCACTGTGGAATCAAGGTTCTATTCATGATGATGGCAGGTATCTTATTCTTGGATAGTATTTGGTTCTTTTTTAATTTCTGAATCAAGAGAGGCCTGGCCACAGCATTAATTAGGTTGTTTTAGTATTTTGGTTAAACAGGTTCACACAATTGTATCTGACTAATTCTATTTTGAAATGATGGAACTTCTGATTGCAGGTCAAATTATATTGAAACTGTGAAAACTGTACGTTGGGAGTATAGCACTCGCCCTGTTTATGGATGGGGTAATGTTGATTCTAAACAGAAGTCTACAGCGGGCTGGCCTGCGGCTTTTCCTGTTTTTGAACCCCATTGGCAAATATGCATGGCAAGTGGACTATCAACAGGTATTTGCTAATCAATCTCCTCCTATATTGACATTTTTCTGTGGCTATGATTTGCCATTTCTAACTAAAAAGTATAAATGTGAAATGGCTCTTGTAAGAAATCTGCCTACTGTGTGATTATAGCTCAGGCTTTTACTTCTGATCATAGGTTGGATAGAGTGGGATGGTGAATTGTTTGAGTTTCAAGATGCCCCTTCGTATTCAGAAAAGAATTGGGGTGGAGCCTTTCCCAGAAAGTGGTTTTGGGTAACTGTTCCTTGCTTGTTCTTGCTGTGATAATGTTCAACTTAGTAATTAAATATACCGTTGGTAGTAAATTTCAGTCTTGCATTTTTCTCAGTGATAAAAAATACTGTTTAAGAAGGGTTACATTATAAAATTATTCCAGTCTTGATTTTCGAAGACCTCTTAAAGGTCATTCATCAAATTATTCCACTCAAATGTTGACTTAGGTGGATATAAAATTGTCTTGCCGTGTTGTTGCTTGCACAAGACTCCATCCTTGATCATGCAGCCATTTTTTGTGTGCAGTGAGACAACATGATATTCCGATGCACTGTTTGTTTGCTGAACCTCTTCATATGAAAATTTGTACTTAGTGAGGTTATTAGTTGTATGCAGCTTATCTATTTTTTGAAGTATTGTCTGTGAAGCCTCGTTCTACTCTTCAAGTGTAATGTTAAGGCCATTTATACTGTTAAATTTTACGTTTTTATGTGCAAGTGATGTGTTTTAGAGCCATCTCCTCCAAATGACTCTTTATATGATCCAAACTATTTATTATAAAGAATTTATCCATAACAGCATCTCAATGATGCTCTTTATTTTGAAGAGCATCTTTCATATAAATAAAGAGCATCTTCATTAATTTTTAAATATAAAAACATAATTTTTATTCAAATCTAATAGACTCTATTTGTAAGAAAGAGACTTAATGGAAGAGAGAATTAATAAATAAAATATATAGGAATTTGTAGTTTATTAATTAAAATTACGATAGATAGTTAAATTTGACTTTCTAAATGTGGAGAGTCAAACTCACTCTCTAATTTATATTTTAAAGATAAAGAGTCTGTTGGACTCTTGTTTTTATGGATAGACTTTTTATAATAAAGAGTTTGGGTCATATAAAGAGTCATTTGAAGATGTTCTAAAAACAAGAGTCCAATACACTCTTTATCTTTAAAATATAAATTAAAGAGTGAGTTTGGCTCATAGAGTCAAATTTCACTCTGTATCCTAATTTTAATTAATAAACTATAAGTTTCTATGCATTTTATTTATTAATTTTCTCCCATATTAAGTCTTTATCTTGAAAATAAAGAGCATTTTTATTAAATTTAAAGAGTTTATTAGATTTGAATAAAAATTATATTTTTTATATTTAGAAATTAATGAAGATGATCTTTGTTTATATGAAAAATACTGTTAAAAAAAAAAAAAACACCATTGGAGATGCTCTTAATAATACTCCTACTTCCGATAATGATAAATTGAGCCCAATTTTGTCATAGTAAGTGTTCTTGAAGACTAGTAATTACCTATTGTCTGCTGTATTCTTTACTTCTTGTTGATCTATGATNTGCAGAAAATGTCTTTGATATATTTAGAGTCGATCTTATGCTGAGTCTCCAACTTTTTCTTTTACATGTTAACATATTTACTATGATATACCTTGGTGCAGATTGGAGTACATTGTGATGGAATTTTCTATGAATTTGTGCCATGGAATGGTGTTGCAAATTGGGAAATTGCTCCATGGGGTTACTGGAACATGGCTGCTGAGAACGAGACACATATGGTAATTTTACATCTTGCTTATATTTTCTTCTTCTGACAGGCTAGTACTAATTAACCAATCTCATATAATAAAACCTGCTAGCTGTAGGAAGTGACCTTCCTGTGTATTTGGCCTCAACGTTTCGACTTGGGAGAGTTTATGCATTGGAATCAAAATCTGGATTCCAGTATGGACTTTCTTTCAAATGATTTATTTAATACGTAGTATTTGTTTGTCCGAGGCAGGTTGAATTAAAGGCGACAACAACAGATCCAGGTACTCCCATACGTGCTCCAACTGCAGAAGCTGGCTTTGCTACAGTCTGTAAAGACAGTTGTTCTGGTCAGCTAAGATTGCAAATATGGGAGAGAAGATCTGATGGCACCAAAGGGAAGGTCTGTTTCTCACACTGGATTTCTTCTCTAATTCGTACCTATGCATATTGTTATAATTAAAACTTGTCAGCGTATTTTTTTCTACATATGGTGTTTCCATGCTTTTTCTGAGTTAATTAAATGTTTTCAATATGTAGGTCATTCTGGATGTTACAAGTGGCATGGCTGCAGTAGAGGTTGGAGGAGGACCATGGTTCAACACTTGGAAAGGTAAGACTGCTTCACCGGAGATTCTTAACTGTGCTCTAAATCTTCCTGCTGATGTGGATGGGTTTTTTAGTTTGATTCCATTTTTCAAGCCCCCTGGTCTATAGCCATTGTCCAGTGTTTAAAAAAAAAAAAGAGACCTATTTTGTAAAATATCTAAAGTGATAATTTTATATTTACTGTATAAAATCTTAAAAAACTGCAAGGCTTAAAGTTGAGGGTTTGATGTTTGCAATGGTTCCTTAGTTTGTATTTATAATTTTTTTTTTTTTTTTGTTGTTGTTGTTGTTGTTGTTGTTCTGGGAGTGCATATTCTTTCAAGTTGATTTATGAATCATTAGAATATGGCAAAGGTTGATGCGAAGTTTCAGCAAAACTAAAGACTGCAAATGAATCTGCATCTCACTTAACTCATCCCCTGCATTCATTCCTGGATTTTAACAGAAAACAGTGGATGGGGGAAAAAGCGCTGCTATAATGCAATTACACCTTTTTTTTTTTTTTTGCGGTTGGTTGAGCATCTTCACTTGTTTGTTCACAGGGAAATATTATGCTGACAAACGAACATTCTCTCATAAACGACGTGACAACTGCTAATTGGTTTCTGATAAATTTTTTAGTATGATGAATTCATTAGAAACCAGTTATCAATTGTCAGTTTGTGAGAGAAAGTTAGTAAGATTCGTTTGTCAGCCTATCTTTATTATTGTTCACATTATTCATGGAATAGGACTGTATATAATTTACTACAATTATCAATTGATAAAGAGTGAATATGATGAGTTTGACTTTTTGTATTCACTCTTCCATTCATTTTCTTTCATATCACTTTGTATATAAATATTTGTAAGATTTCTTTGTATGTCTAGCATTATTGTTATTAAATAACCACTTTACGAAACATATTAAGTTTCTAGTAAAGGTCCAATTTCAATCGTTAGAGACCAACTTGAAATGAGTATGATTTTAAGCTCTAATGGAATGGACTCGATGACAGACAACTCTTCACGTGGAATTTGAATTTGATTAAGGTTGGTTTCAGTTTAGAGGTTGATTTGAAAATCCAAATTTAAGGTATCAAGATTGGTTGTGTTTGTTTGAGTATTTAGAATAGTATTTTTGAAAAAGTTGAGTTGAGTTGAGTTGGTTTGTTTTCACAAGAATAGGATTTGAATTTGAAAATGTGTTTAGTAAATTTTTGGAAAACATTTTCTGAAAATATTTAGACTATTTTTTAACTCTCTACATTTGTTAATTTAGCTAAACACCCCCTACAGTAAAAGTTTTAAAAATAACAAAAACACCCCTATCCATCCATTAAATGCCAAGAGCTGGCCACCACCGTTGGACGATGGCCAAAAGTCATTGGAATAGCATACGAAAGACTAGATCTGGTCGATCGTGGGCTGATCTGGCATTTTCCGACCAAATCCACTACAGATTTGGCCGAAAATGGCCAGATCTATGGTGGATCTGGTCGAAAAAGCCAAATCGACGCATGACCGGTCAAATCCAGCCAATCATGTGCTATTCCAGTGATTTTCAGCCACTGTTCGGCGGTGGTGGCCAGCATTTAATGGGTAGGTAAGGGTGTTTTTGCTATTTTAAAACTTTTATTGAGAAGGTGGGGGTATTTTTGTTAATTTTAAAACTTTTATTGAAAAAATAATTATTAATGTTTTGAGTTGAATAGATAGGGTTGGATTTTGGAAATATTAAAACAAATGCATTTTTATTTTTTTGGATAAGATAGTAGGATAGGATAGGGTTTGAATAATGCCCCAAACACAGCCAAATTTGACACACGAATTAAGTAACCACTTAACCAAAAACTTTAGGCAAGGGTTTAACATTAATATTTAAGTATATGAATTACATATTATCATTGTTTTAAAACCCGGATCAGAGGCCAAACCGTTTTTCTACCTGGGTCTCGGGTCAACCGGTCCAACACTGGTGACGTCAGTGACAATTTTATTTTTAAAAAATTACATAGTAATCCCTCAAATTTTAATATATTACAAAAATTCCCCTAAAAAGTTCCAATTAGTCCCTACAATTTTTATTTATTTCAAAAATGCCCCCAAAAAAATTACCAATTAATCCTAAAACTTTTGACATATCTCCAAAACACCCCTATAAAATTACAAAGTAACCCTTATAATTTTGAAATATTAAAAAAATCCCCTAAGATCTGAACCGAACCGGAGAAGCTGCCGGGTCTCGGTCCAACCGACTAGTTCGGTCCAGTTTTTAAAACAGAGCATATTATAATATTTACCTAACATTGAACATCAAATTATTGATGTCATGATGCATAAACCTATTGAAAGTAATAATAAAAAACTAAAAAACTAAATGCATAACCTAACCTATTGAAAATATTAACTTAAAAACTAAAAATCATCTCTCATCGCAAGCCCTTTATTGAAGGGCACATCTTATTGCTTTCTCCTTTAAAGGGCCATAAGCCTTGCAACAAGAAAGGAAATAAGCAAAATTAAGCAAGCTTAATCCTGAGAGAAGACAAAAATACCAATCATAGTGACCCCTGTTGATATTGCTGGAAACCCAACTCTCTTTTCCTCCTCTTTTGGTAGCATCTTCAACAAAACTCAATATCAGACTGGACACCAAACTGGCTGCTGACATCCCTGCTCCAGCAAGTGAGGAAGCTACACTTGACATACTTTTAGGCAATTCTGAGTAATAGAATTCAATCTGTCCTATTACATTGAAAGCCTCTGCCAGACCACTCAGAATATGATATGCCAGTAGCCACATTGCTGACATTTTCACAACACCTTGTGGGTCGTCTGAAAATCCTTCCTCGATCGCTCTTTTGCGTCGAATAGTCTCTATTATTGCCAATGATGCCATGGATGAACTGGAGAAAATAAGTCCAGTCCCCATTCTTTGTTTCAAGCCGAGATAAGTTGGTTTTCCGACGATTTTTGATGCTACAGGGATAATCATACGATCATAGAGAGTTATCCATATTGTTATTGTGAAAATCATAAAGAAGCTGAAGGAGCCTGCAGGAATTTGGAAGCTTGGTGTAATGTGTCTATCCATTGTAGTTGCTTGGAGTACTGCAATTGAGCTTTGACCAAGAGTCACGCACAACATGATTCCTGATGACCACAATGGAATCACCTTGATTAGCGATTTCAGTTCTTCTACTTGATATATTGTACATATACTCCACGGATCTGAAGCTCTTCCTTCTGGTGCCAAGTCTTGTTGAGGATTCCTAATTATGCAGGCTCTATTCAGAAACCTGGACAGAGAGGACAAAAAAGAATACTTATAAGAACTTACAAGTTTTGTCATGTTCAATATGAACAGCACTAAACCCAATTGATACTATACCTTAACGTCTCAGTTGGTTTGACAAACACTGCTCCTTTCTTGTAATGGTAATATTCATTTGTGGCTTGGGATGATAATTCTATATGCCTATTTTTATAACTGGCTGCAACAACTTGAGCAAATCCAGTAAGCAAGCTTTCTTTAGCCTTCAGCTTGACGTAAAAGGGAGAAGCCACGAAGAAAAGGACAGCGGACAACAACATCAGCATGCAAGGAACTCCAAAACCCACCCGCCATCCGAGCTTATCTTGAATGTAAACAATACAAGTTACTGAAATAATAGCTGAAATTGAGACTGAAACATAGTACCAGCTGAAGTAGCACCTTAATATGCCGTCACTGTTTAGGTTGTCTCTCCCGGACTTCAACTGATCTGCACCAAAAGCTATGGAGGATGATCTAATGCCGCCAGCGCCAATTGACATGAATCCAAAAGATGAATATAAGAGCAGAAGCTGGGATGTCGTGGGAGATAAGCAGTTTTTACTTAATTCGTGGCAGTGAGGAAACCTTGCTGGCGGAAAAATGGTTGTTAACCATAACAGAAACATCCCTGCAACAAGACAAGTTTAACTGATTTTTGTTGTATCCCGACAAAAACTGGCTTCATACACATGGTTTGATCAAGGCATGACAATAAGCTATATCTAAAGTCATAATGAAGTGGATTAGAGGGGATACTTCTAATCGCTGTCTAGTCTCTACTCTCTAGTCCCAAAATTACAGTAAGGAAGACTCATATCTAACAACAAAGAAAGATCACCTAAGCTTAGAATTTATGTAAATTTTGTCACAACAATGAATTATGAAGATTCCCACCCATTTAAACGATCGTTTATAATTATCAAATGTAAAATTCTTAGAACGCAACATCAAGGTTCTTCAACTATATTAATGTTTCATAATCCTACACAGAAAAAGACGAAATAATAACATTCAGAATATAAAACCATATATATCATTCAACAAATCTAGAGAATGCACACAGGAGAAAAATTGATGATAAGAAGAAAATTAATGATGAATTGAGGAAAGAATACCAGAAGGCTAGCAATAGATCCACAGCTGATCATGTGGTACCGACCCACATAAGAATCTGCAAGAAAAGCCCCAATAACTGGCATGAAATTGGTGGCAGCTGACCAGATGAATAGTATGTTGACTCCTCTTGCAGTTTCCATTCCATACTCTCTGGTCAAATATAATATCATGTTTGGCATCAAGCCAACACTTGCCATCCTCTCAAATGCCTCATTTGCTGCCATCACCAACATCAACAGCATCATCATCAAGTGTAGGTCTATACATGAATGCTTTAATTTGTATATAAAAAAAAAAAAAAAAAAATACTCACCTATGATGAAAGGCAACGTTTGAAAGCCACCCTTGGGATTTGGAGTGCTCAAAAGTGTCTCTTTGATCATTTTCTTCTCGTCCGAAGAACTTCCCAATTGTTTTTCTCTTCTTTGCAAAGACTGGAGTTTACGAACCAAGAAAGTGCATTACACACTAGCAATGTCACATCTATTAAGGAATAAAATCATTTATTTTCTTATTATCACGATTATTATATTTTCTTATATTTTTTATTAAATTCATTATAATGATGATTGTATTTCCTTATAGTTTTAATTAATTTCATTATTAGGATGATTGTTGAACCTATATATTGTACACTTTTTTTTAATATTGAATATACAATCTCTATACAATTCTTTGACATCTACCAAAAGTG